CGCCCCCGCCCCCGCCCCCCAGGCTTCTCTGTATGCCGCATTTGGAATGGATTTCAGGGTGGCCTTGAACTCATGGTGGTCCTCCTGCGTCAGCCTCATGAATGCTGGGATCACAGGGGTGCACCACTGTGTCAGAAATGGAATTTTTCTTGTTGGCCCCACCATTCTGCCTGGGTCACTTGACTGGGCTGTCACTGAGTGATGAGTGCTGTTGGGATCAGTGTGGTCCCTAATGATCCCAAGCCACATATCTGCAGCGCTTCCTGTCCCCTGCTGTTCAGGTCTGGGAGGGGCTGAATGTGGTGAAGACCGGCCGAGTGATGCTGGGCGAGACCAACCCCGCCGACTCCAAGCCGGGCACCATCCGAGGGGACTTCTGCATCCAAGTCGGCAGGTGGGTCCAGAGACACTAACGACTGCACCTCCACTTAGAAGGAGCAGAAAGCAAACATTTGGGGGCATATCTCAGTTTTAGAAAAATCTAAGTGTTTTTTTTTTTGTATCAGGGATTGAATTTAGGTCCTTGCACTTTCGAGGCAGGCAGCAGAATAAAGTGGTAATTATCATTAGATAAATGCTATCATAATAGCTACTTCCCTAGGTTAAAATTCCAAGCCTGGCATGGCAGTGCATACTTGTATTCCCAGCTACTTGGGAGGCCGAGGCAGGAGCATCCCAAGTTGAAGGCCAGCCTGGGCAACTTCTTGAGATCTTGCCTCAAAAAAAAAAAAAAATACAAGCATGTTATGTCATGGTTGGGTTCAGCAAATCAGTGTTATAAGAAATGAAGTAATAGCAATGCTACTTAGGGTTTTGCTCACTCTGCTCATTTTTCAAGATTTGAGATTTGGACACCTTGGGATATAAGCACGTTTTGAGGGGGAAACTTAGAAGCATAATATAGTTGAACCAAGGGACCTTTATTCCTTCTATTTTTCTTGGGTGTTGGGGATTGAATTCAGGGCCTGGGAAAAGTTCTGCATCCTCAGCCCCAGGGGATCTTTTTAACAGTTTGTTTTTCTTTTTTGACTGGTGTCAAGCACCTGGCTGCCAGCAGTCATCCTGCCTCAAGCTCCTGAATAGCTCGGACTACAGAGTAGCTGGGACTACACTTGTATACCATTGGGCCTAGCGTATTTATAGTGTTACAGTTGGTTTTAAAATAAAATAATGCTGGGCATGTTGGCACATTCCTATAATCCTACCACTAGGGAGGCTGAGGCAGGAGGATCACTGAGTTCAAGGCCAGCCTGAGCTACACTCAGATCTTGTCTCAAAAAACCAAAACCAGCTGGGTGTGGTGGTGCATGCCTGTGATCCTAGCACTGGGGAGGCTGAGGCAGGAGTATGGAGGATCAAGGAGAGATCGAGGCCAGTCTGGAATACATAATGAGTTCAAGGCCAGCCCGAACTGTATAATGAGACCCTGTCTCAAAAAACAAAAACCAAAACAAACTTTGGGGAATGTAATTAGTCTGCTGCTTCAGGTGGTAATTTAGCTGGAAACATCCGGAGCGGCTGTTCTGTGTTGTGCCCATGAAATATACTTGTTTTGGAGACAGGATCTCTATGTAGGCCAGGCCAGCCCTGAACTTGGGATCTCCCATCTCAGCCTCTGCAGTGACTTTTGCACTGTGAAACACAGTAACCAGTAACTGTTCTCTTTCTTAGGAACATCATTCATGGCAGTGATTCAGTAAAAAGCGCTGAGAAGGAGATCAGCCTGTGGTTTAAGCCGGAAGAGCTGGTCGACTACAAGTCCTGTGCTCACAACTGGATCTATGAGTAGCAGTGGGAAGAGCTCTGAGTTTCGCTCAGCTGACTGGGGAGGGTCACAGGGACCCTTCTTTTCTGAAGCCCGTTTCCCAATAAAGCCTTGGGACCGGCGGCATCCTGTGGTTCCTTGATGCCGAGCAGCTGGTGCCCCTGGCCTCTTGGCCTGGATCCCTCAGAGCCCGGCTGTGGGAGAACATGGCCCTGGCCAGCGGCATGGTTACTGTTTCCTTCTGTGAGGAAGGTCTGGAAACCCGGGGGGAGGCCCGTCCGGATTTGCACCTGTGCTGTGCAGTCTGGGTGGGCTCCCTGAGCCAACATGGAGGACCCCTGGAGCCAGGGTAGCGCCCAACTGTGACTCAAGATGAAAGCAACTGACCCAGTTCCCCAGGCCAGGTTGTTCCAAAAGTGTTTCTGCAACCCTACATCCTGGTCAGACCCTGGGGTGATTTACTAAGCTTGTTGCCTGGGCTTGAGGCGAGAAGGGGAAGATTCACATTCTAAGTTGGGTGTGGTGGTGTGTTTCTGTAATTTCTCTAGGAGGCCAAGAGAATCCCAAATTGCCCAGACTGGGCAATTTATCAAGACCTGTCTCAAAAGCAAAAGGGCTGGGGATGGCTCAGTTTGAAGACCCTGGGTTCAATCACTAATACAAAGGAAATACTCAGTTTTTGAAGTTAATTTTGCTTTACTGGCAGTTGTAAAAATGCTTTTGTAGCATTATCTTTTGGAGTCTGCCTTTTGAAAACAGTGACAAACGGATGGTTTTTTTTTTTGGACAGGGTCTCGCTATGCAGCCCCGGCTGGTCAAACTCAAGGTGATCCTCGTGCCTCAGCCTCCAGAGTGCTGGAATTACAGGCATGAGCCACCGGGCCTGACCAGGTTAATTGTTTTCATGTACACACAGTATGAGGCATGCTGCGACGCTACACATCCATGAGTCTGAGCCTCCCCAGCCAGCAGGGAGCTGCACCTCCACCTCACACTGAACCCTCCTGCCCAACATCAGAGAACTGCTCACATACGGCTTAACTTTCATTTTATTTTGTGTAAAAAAGGGCAAATTTAGTGAATTATTTTCATCTTGTACACAAAGTTATAATTTTAATGCTTTTCACATCCATGCTGAAAATTTGCAATTTGGTAAAAATGAAAGGAACATAAATTTCTCTGAAGGAATTTTTCACGCCATTATATACACTTCATGAGAAAGTTTCAAACACTTTCTCAATGATCACGTTACCAGAAAATAAAAGATTAAATTTGTACAGATATTATCTATATATCAAATACATACAGAAATGATGTAAAAACCTTATGCAGTTTACTTTGACCTCTGTCCTCAAAAGATATGCCCAGGGACAGATACTAATCCTTTGTATAAATGACTGTGGCTTTATTTAAAATATGAAAATCAAAGGAAGAAACCCAGTTTAATCACAGTATTTTTAAAATCCCTTCCCAATATTAAAGGATCATTACCAAATATATAGCACCATAATACAAATATTGATGGGAAAGGGTATTCACATCACGCAAAATTAATAAAACAAACACTGAAAACCCGTGTTAGTATCCGTAGAATAAGAAGTTGATAACAGCTTTAGCTTTATCCTCATACACAGCAAGGAAAAGGTTAGAGAATTTAAACTACCAAAGTCCCCAAGTAATCCTAACAGGAAAACAAATAACAAAAAACAAACCCAAGGTCAGCAGTACGTTTTGAACCGTAAGAGAGGAAGGGGCTACAGAGCTGTAGGTCGGAGTTATGGCTAAGACAGAGCCCTGGGCAGGGCCGCCTTCACTTCCGCTCGAGGTTGTGGGCAGAGGGGCCGGCAGGGTCCTCCTCAGCAGCCTGCCAGCCAGGGTCAGGGGCCGAGCAAGCGAACTTGCTGGAGCAGGTGGGTCGGATCACTCTCACTTGCTCGCTCGGAGCCTGGCTTTGCTGTGGAACTGGAAGCTTATGAAACACGGCTACAAATGAGCATTTCACAGAGCTAATTACCAGGGCTGGCTGGCTCCAAATCCCAGCCCTCCTGGCTTATGGGGTTCCCCTGAGAGCCCCGATCCCCAAGGTGCAGGTAGAACACAGTGCTCACTGGCCGGCCGCGCCCAGAAGCGGGGGAGCGGGGAGCTAGGTGTGATCCGTGGAGCCTGAGAAGAAAGACCGCTGCCCCTCTGCCTGGAACCTTCTCGGCCTAAAGATCTGGGAAGCGCGAGGACGTCACATTTACAGTAGGTCCCTCTCAGCAATGTTGTTGAAGATAAATATCCAGTAATTTTACAGCTGAAGTCACATATATTTGACAGAGAATCAACTTGCGTTGATGGGATCTGCATTTCTGCCCTCGAAAAGAGTCAGTGTTAAGAAATGGTGACATGCGATTCCATACATTCTTACACTATAAAGTAACACGATTTACTTCCAGTAGCTGCTACAAAACCTTATGTTATGAACCCCTCTTGCATAGAATGAGGTAAACCTGTGCGTATTACCAATGCTATTATTCCCAAAAGTAGAGCAGTATTTTAGAAAATAAATTGCTGGTTTTTAACGTTCTATGCATTTTAAAATTCAAACAAAAATCTTACCTAAAATGTTCTCCTGGGGCTTTCTAGTGTTTAAAGCATTCCATAGGCGGAAGGACTGTCAAGGTTAATCATTTTGATTAATTCCTAGTCTGCCCTGCCTATATTCCAGAGATGGCCACAGTTAGCAAACGGAGGAGGCCAGGCTAAGACCCAGAAGCACTTCTACAACAGATGAGTGAATTCCTGAGAGTTTAGTTATGAACCTCACTGGTAAACGCTAGAGCTCTCAGTCACAGCGCGGTAGACAGCTAGAAGACAGAGAGCAAACCTTTCACCAATTTACCCTTGGATCCTATTTTTGAAGGAAGCCATGTGAATTTTAAAATAGGGAATGTTTGGAATGGTCCAAATCAATTATTACTGTTAAAAAGAGATTCTGGTGACAGTTAAAGACAATTCATACTCTGTATGTGGAATTTTTCAGAAAATTAAGTCCTCTTTCAATTTAGTTTTCTAACAAATCCAGGACAGCTAGAAGTGGAGCTGGAATGATTTTGTAATCTGAAGTTGTTTGGCTCTGAGTAACTGACTTTGATTCTCTTGGTGACACAAAACATCTGTTTTGGGGTGTGGTTGTACCCAGTTTCTATCTCATGGGATGGGACGAAATGGCTGAGAACTGATCAGAATCCCTTCCGGGGGCTATTGTATTTTAGCAAGGAAAATAAAATAAACTTAGGACAATATTGCATGTTCCCAACCCCGCAACATGGAGATTGAGATCCTGTATATCTTGCCAACCATTCCAGTTTAACACTTTAGTGTTAGGATCATTTCTGACTGAAAAGAGAACATATAAAGTATCCAGAGTTCTTCCAGTTTCATACAGAACTCCAAATAAATTTTCACAGAATGAAAAACATTTCTGTACAAACATTTAAAATGGGCTGCAGTGAAACGCCAGCGAGCAGAGCGAATGCCCTTCCGTGGTCTGTGTGGAGCCGGGCCCTCCGCAAGGGCCTCAGTTGCATATTTCTGCAGCAGAGGAAGCCGGAGATGTGACTGGCCTAACTTCTAAAATCCAAAAGTCTCCCAACAGGTACCAAAAAGGTTCATTTGTATGACAGTTCATTTGCATTTACAATTACATCCTCCTTAAATCATTTCCTTCAATCCTGCTACCTAAACTTTAATCTTACCAAAAAGTTAGAATTTCAGTTCTTGTTAACAATGCACATAAATCCAAACTTGGAAAATATTACAAAATTCTTTCAAAAGCTTCAAATACAACACAAAAATTGTCCATCTTTATAAATTGAAAAATTTCCCCTACCCCCCCGACTAAAATAGTTTCCCCACCCACCTGAAAAATCCGGAACTGAAATTTTCTGTTTAGCAAAATGTCCCAGTAGAATAGCCCGCTGTACAGCTGGATCGATTATAAATCAGTTCTGTGTAAAATTCTTCCCCTCCCGCCCTCAGTTTCTGAGCCGGCTCAGGGCTCTTGTTTGATGTAGAAGTTGGCAGAGCCATTGCTTTCCTGATCAGACGCTCCCTGGAGGAAGTTATAATCCTCCCCATCCAGCAGCTCCTCCTTCAGCTGCAACGTGGTCACTGTGAGAGAGAGAGAGAGAGAGAGAGAGAGAGAAAGAGAGAGATGCACCGCGGTTACCAAGCCTCTGCACACCCACACGGCCTCACAGTTAGTAAGACCTCTCCAAGTTCTCTCTCACTCTTAAAATTAACCCTGGGAAGCTGGGAGGAAGCTCAGGGGTGGCTTCTGCAAATGCGCCGAGGCCTGGGGTTTGACTGCAAAAAACAAAACAAAAAAACTCCAGAAGTATAAGCGCTCAATTTTTTTCTTTTTGTGGTGCTGAAGACTGAACCCAGGGCCTCATGCAAGCTGGGCAAGTGCTCTGCCCCTGCGCTGTAACTCCAGAGCTCACTTTAATTTTCAAATACACTGACCATGAAGGAAGGCTCTGCAAAGGAACAACATGACATATGGGACACTGCACAGTGGATGCCTTCAACAGAATCTTCTCATAATGGTGCTCACTAACTCGACTGTATTCATTACAATTTTTCTTATGATTAAGCATTCACTTTTATGTCAATGTCTATAGAAAGAATGACATATTCCTGCATGCTTCCAAAGTACAGTGCTTAATAAGTAACAACAGTAAATATGACTTTAATAATATAACTTTATTCCCAAAGAACACCTTCATTGATTTTACACAGGTAGGGAGTGAACCCAGGGTCTCACTCAAGGAAGGAAAATACCCTAGGACCACTGAACCACACCCCAGCCCAGACAGTAAAGACTCCCTGAAGAAACAAGGATATGAGCCTCATATCAGGTGTAACATTATAAATCATATAAAACAGCATTGGTAATATAAATTATACACATATAAATTTATAAAAATAAAACTGACAGCCGGGTGCGGTGGTGCACACCTGTAATCCCAGAATTTGGGAGGCTGAGGCGGGAGGACTACCAAGAGTTTGAGGCCAGCCTGGAATACACAGTGAGTTCAAGACCAGCCTGAACTACCTAGCGAGACCTTGTCTCAAAAACAAAATAAAACAAAAAAGCAACAACAACAAAAAACCCCTGACATTAAATAAAGTCCCATAGTGGAACTAAAATTATGGGGAACTTGGGAAGTTACTCTAGTTCAAATAAAAATGTACTGACAATGGAAATGTGAAAATCATCAGTGCAAGGGCCGCAGATGTAGCTTAGTGGTAGGTAGAGCACTTGACCAGCATATGCAAGATCCTGGGTTCAATTCCTAGTACCACAGCAAACACAAAAACCCCCAAACCAGAAAACAACCAAAACACAAAACCTCTCTACAAAACCAAAGTTGCTCACTTTCCCCGTGAGATCGCTGACAGCAGCGCTCACTGCCTACACGAGCCCACAGCCCAGCAGCCCTTCACTTCAGCGTCTCTGTTCTGCGTAGAACTGCTTCCGAAGGGCTGCATCCTGGGAACAGGGGTCGTGCTGGCCAGGACTCTGGGAGCAAAGATCAGCCCAGCTGTTTAGGAGGTGTAGGCAGGGGCCAGCCTGAACTATACAGTGAGACCCTATCTGAAAAATTTTTTTTTAAAAAAGTTTCATTTTGCCAGGCCCCAAAGTGATCTTAGGCCATGCCTGAGATTTTTATCCCCTTTCAACTTGGGGTTCCCCACAGCCTGACTCCTCAGCGCCCTCAGCCGGCCCTGCTCCAGGCCTGAGCATAGGGCTTCTCCCTCAAAAGGTACTCCCTATTCTCTTCTTTTAATGAAAATGATCTCACCCAGGTATTGGCCTAATGTCAACAGCCACCAACGTGTGTTCGGATTTCTTAAAGTCAGTGTCCAACCACAGCTGAGCTGGTGAAGCTTCAGATCTATACAGAGCAAGAGAGGTGACCTTCTGTGTTCCTGCACCCAGGGCCACCTAGCCCCAGGGAGCAGAGCCAAGCCTCCCCCGAGCTTTACACAGCTTGCTGAACTGCGCTTCGGCCTCCGGCCTCCGCTGCTTCAAGGATCTGTGTGCTGGAGACAGGAACCAGGACTTCTGCCTGGCAGAAAAGCGCTCTACACTGAGCTACAGGGCCCAGGATTTAGCTCAGTGGTTCCATCCCCTGCCTCGAAAGTGCAAGGTCCAGAGTTGGAGGGGAGGGGGAAGTGCTACAGTCTGGTTTTCTTTTAAAGTCTGAGTGACTATTTCAAAGGAGAGATCTGACACAAATCTGAAAAGCACTCCTGAAGGAGCGCAGCCTGCCTCCCTGCGGGCATCTGGCTCCAAACAAAAGGTAAACTTTTTTGTTTTTATTATGTATTTTCCATTAAAAACTCTAGTCCTTGCCTGCCTCACAAGCGCAAGGACCTGAGTTCGACCCCTGGTACCAAAAACAAACACACAAACCAACGAACCACAACAACAAAAACTCTAGTCCTCCCTGGTTACTGGCTCCACTTTCAGTTTTCTGCGATCAATTGTAGTTGAAAGTATTTTTTTTTTTTTTTGGTACCAGGGATCGAAATTGGAAGTATTTTTTGTCATTAATCTCTTTTTTTTTTTGAGACAGGGTCTGGCTGTGTACTCCAGGCTGGCCTTGAACTCATGACGTAGTTCAGGATTTCCTTGAACTCTTGGTGTCCTCCTACCCCCAAGCCCAAGTATACACCCCCATGCCTGGCTTTTTTTTGCTCATCTCTTTTATTTTTATTTTTGGTACCGGGGATTGAACTCGGGACCTTGCGCTTGCAAGGCAGGCAGCGGCACCACTGAGCTAAATCCCCGGCCCTCTCTTTTATTTTTTAAAAAAATCTCTTAATGCGCTCAATGTATAAATCAAATTTGAACGTGGGTATATATGTGGAGGAGGAAAGTGGTATCTGTGTGTACAGTTCGGTACTCTCTGGGCTTTCTGGCATCTGTCAGGGGACCTGGAACGGGCTAAGAAGACCATGTGGGACATAAATTGGGATCTGTCCACACTGAAAAAAAAAAAATTATTTCCGAGGTGAATTAGGACTCAAATTGTACCTGGGTAGTAGGTATTTAAGTTTTTCAAAAAGTAATAGCACTATGTGGAACAATAATTAGTGATTACAACTTTTAAAACCCAACAGTAGTCACAGAAAAATGCCTCATTTCTCGCTTTTTCTTTCTTGGTGGTGCTAGGGATCAAATCCGGGGTCTTGGCTATGTCAGGCAAGAGCTCTACCACTAAGCTATTCCCTAGCCCAACAGATTACTTTAAAAAAAACATCGTCTGTCTTCTCTCATATTATGATAATCTCTTGAGAAAGGACAATTTCATCTTATTGTGCTACCAGTTTGGGCATTGGCAGAGGAAAATTTAACAGTGCAAAGACAGAAAAGCAAATATACTCCATATATAAAAACAGTAAAACAAAAAACTAATCAGACTGTTGAAAGGTAAAGCAAAATTGTGCAGTTTAAAAAAAAAAATTAACATAGGGGATTTAGCTCAGTGGTTCTGCCACCTGCCTTACAAGTGCAAGGACCCGAGTTCGATCCCCAGTACCAAAAACGAAAACAAAAAAAATTAATATAGTTAACAATGCTGTTACAGTGAACAGTATCAAATGTATAAGTTATCCTTCTAATCTAGACAACATGCATTAAGCATTAAGATCATTTTAACGCCAGCACTACAATAAACACATGGAAACAAAGCCCCTGTTTCATTAAAGGTGCAGTACCCACAATAAAAGGTTGGTTGAACCGTGTCCCGTTAGGATGATCAGATGGCTCAATGAATGGGAATCACTCTGCTTCCAGTCAAGCATGTGCCATTCAAACGGGGTCTTAGCAGAGAGAGAGGCCGAGTTTCTAAGGCACACCCTGAAGCTTTGTGCATTTATCGCTGACGACACACTTCTGGACTAGGCTTCTAACCATGTTAAAATATGGAAATGATGTGCTTGAAAGATCGCTCAAGATACAGGTGAAACATTCACTCAGATGTGCAATGTTTTCATGCAGTTTCAGTGTTCCCATGGACTCTGAGATAAGGCTTGTCCAGGATGTTCCCACCAACCCTTTCTCCCCAGGCCTCATCCTCTGTGAATGATGGATGAAACACAACAGAGCCTCTGGCTGCAGCTCCCTCTCTACACAAAGGCATTTTCTGAGCTCTGTCCTAAAAAGGAAGTCACTTAATGACACTAAGCACTAACACTTCAGGAGATAAACTAACCGAAACGACATTTTCCCAACTACACAGTCCATTAATAATGAAGAACAGCTAAACCCCAGCACTGTAGCTTTCAGATCCTTCAGGTGGCAAAGCGGTCCCTGGGTGGTTTCACCAGCGTGAAATCCCACCTCATTCCATCCAGCAGGGGACGCGACAGGACCTGAGAGAAGCAAGTCCCGCAAGGAGGCGCTGTGGGTTCTCGGGGGTTCTGCCAACCTCTGAAATCAAGTTCTGCTTCACATGAATCAGAACCTCTCACAAAGCACGATACACGCCTCCGAAATTAATGTTTAACAAAAATGCACTTCCAAAATCCAACAAAAGTTCAAACATTCAGAACTCATAGTATCCATACTTAAAAAGGTGAAAGATGACTGCTTCATAAATACCCGGATGAAAAAAATTAAACAGAAACCAGAAGCTAGAATGCTCTTCAGTTAGACTTTGAGGGTTTTCCACTAAAAGGCAGGTAACTTGGTAATCCCAGTCCCAAGCAGTTTGTCATGTAAAACAAACACTGTGATTTCCTCTGGATATAAGGACATCAGAAAAACAGAGCGGGAAGGAGCCAGATGGCCCTAACACACTGTGACAGATGTCAAAAGCTAAAGAGTATGTCCTCTGAAAACGCCGCCCCCCCAAAAAAGAGGTCAGTAACTTCAGGTGACAAAATATTAGCAAACAGCAGAGAAGGAAACAGCTAGGCACGAAGTTCCCTCTAGATTTTCAACATACAGAAGACATTTTAAAGAATGCTGGCCAGATGACACAATGTAGTTTAAAATCAGCAGCTGGGACAAGGAAGCAGACATGCCCGGCAGATACAACTTTGGCTTTGCAGCTCTGTGATCTGGACCCAGGCCCAATGGTCGGCATAGGGATGGGAAGCTTTTCTGACCCCTCAGAAAAAGGTAACGCCACACACAAAGGGTAAAAACCTTCTGCCCTGGCCTAACCAATTAAATGTCGTTTATATCATGCATCACTATATATATACAAACACGAAAGTGTGCAAAATATAGAAATAAGTCACCTAAATTCAACACCAAGATTATCCAGATATTGTCCTTCTCCACCTGGATTATTCAGCTACAATCATGGTAAATGTTACCACCAAAACCTATATGAACACAGAGCTGACACCACACCCTGGCTGCGTGTGGGACACTGAGCAATGTCAGGAACCAAGCCTCTGGTCAGGGTCTGATCCGGGGACCAAGGCCTCCACACAGCTGTCCCTGTAAGGCTGCGCCAAACTGCGATGCACAATGGTCAGGAATTTGAATGAATCATGAAATACTGCAAGCTGCCCCGTGCAACTCCATCAACTGCTCCCCTGATGACCTGTCTCAGTGAAATGACTACCGAGGCCCAGTGAGAATGAATTTAGGAAGAGAAGGAGGAGAAATAGAATGAGTCGGCATCTGTCACAGCAGAGTGCGCCCTGTGCCCGCCACCCTGCCCAGCATGGACCCTGTGCAGTACCTGCGGTGCCGGGCGACTCGTTACCTGTTTTGAGGCTGGGCCTGAACTCTCGGCTAGTGCTGGGAGGCGGGAAGGCCTCTGGGGCTGTCTGTGCCGGCAGGGCTCGGTATGGAGGAGTCAACTCTTCGTCCCCAGAGAAGCTCCTCCGCACCCCACCTGTCATGGGCAGGCTCGACAAACTGACAGGCTTCTTCCCAACTGGCATCTTCCTCTCTAAACATCAAGTCAGACTGAAGTAAGCTTTGACTCGCGTGGTGGCAGGAAAAGTGCATTGCATAATAAGGAAGCAGGGGTGCACAGGGCCCCGCAGAGAGAACCCACTACACAAGGTCGTGCTGCTGGGAACTGGGGTGGGTGTGCATGTGTCTGTGTGTGTGGAGGGAGAGTGGCGGGAGGTTCTACTTCCTCAGTGCCTCATAATCCTGGTCCTGACTCCCAAATGCATCTTACACAAAATAAGGCGAAATGAACAAGAAAGCACCAGGGTAGAGAACATCTGGCCAATTTCTTTCAAGAAAATATTAGCTTAAGGGTGAAAAACCAAAACCAAAGCAAAACCAAAGGGAGGGAGGGAGAGAGAGAGAGGATTTTTTTGTTTGTGGAGCTGGGGCCGGGCAGGGCCTCACGCATGCCAGGCTGTGCCCCACTCCACAGCAGGCCGGGTGTGTGTGTGGGGGGTGGCACCTCACTGCCTGACCTCAGCAGCCCCACCCGGGCCTTGTATTACCTGGGAGGCAGGCAGTAGAAAAACACTGTAAAGCTGAGTAATATGCAGTGTGCTCGCTGTTAGTGAATGGTATACTTATTCTGAAAAGCATGTCTAAAATTCAAACTTTATGGCTTTCTGTCTGCCAATTCTTCATTTCTTCTGAAACAAACTTATTATACCCTTTGGTTAGTTTCATAAGCAAACATAAGCCTTCCAGGACTCAAATGACTTCACCAACCAAAAATACACCCAGAAGTTTGCAGACACTGAGCCGCCAAGTAAAGTGCATGGGTCAGGCAGAAAGCGGGAGGACATTTCCATCTCTGTCTGACTGTAAATCAGGCCTGTTTTCCTTCACAGGATACAATGACCCAGGTCAGAGCCATCAGAATTATGCTTCACAAAAGTGTCACTGAAGGGTACAGCTAAGCTAGACAGTGGACAGAAATGTGACCTGGAGGCCAAGACATTTTCTAGTGCGCTACATACTTGGAGGTCAAAGGGCAAGGAGAAATCTCACAGGAGCCCTGAAAACGGGGAAATTCAAGACAGAAATTAATGCTGCTTTTCCTGCTCTGGAATTACTACATACACTGTGAGGAAAAGAGGTTTTGAAACTGGATGGGCTACTCAATCCTCTAGGCAGGAAATTACTCTTATTTTCAACATTTATCCTTTTAAAGCACGGCTTGTTATCCATAAGCTAGAACCATAAAGCCCATCAGCTCTGTCTCTAACAAGCAAGCACTAGTGAAGAACTGGGGAAAGATTTTAAGTACCAAAACACCAAAGAGCTCTAAGAGGAAACAACAGAGCCAGGACACGATCATCCACCAGCAAACTCCAAAGACAAACAAGATTTTGTAGCCCAACTGCTACCAATAAATGCTTGCCTGCAATGGACGTCTTACGTTTCTAAACCCCAAGTTTTTTCTCTTGTGGGAGAAGTTTCTAATAAACTGTTGGGTAATATAAAAAAAAGATTAAGGAGCATATAGTTCTTTTACAGTGAAAATTGCTTCTTAATACAACAACACCATTTCTTTTCCTTTCATTCTTTTTTCTTTTGTGGTACCTGGAATTGAGCCCAGGGCCTTCCCATTGAGTTACATCCCCAGCTTTTGAGACAAGGTCTCTGACTGCTAAACTGCCCAGGCTGGGCTGGACCTTGTAGTCATTCTGCCTCAGCCTCCCAGAATGCTGGGATCACAGGTGTGCACCTGCACGGCTGGCTCTAGCAGTGTAATTTCTTACCTTTAATTCCAACATCAGTAAGTGTTAAGATTTTGGCAACAAAACCATGTTCATTTGGCAATACACTATAATCTTTACTACGTCCCCTTTTTTCTTTTTTGCAGTGCTGGAGGTTGAATCCAGAGCTCTGTGCCTGGTAGGCCTGGGTTTACCACTCACTACAACCGCAGGCCTTGCCCCTATTTTTGGACAGGGTCTTGATATGTTAGCTAAGCTGGGCTTGAACTTGCATTCCTTCCTGCCTCAGCCTCCTGAACAACTGGGATTACAGAGACGAGTGGCACTTGGCCCACGCAAGTATTTATAATATAGTTATGCACAAGAAAATGCTCCAGTCTGCAAGGTGTTGTGCAGTAAATCCAAGCTAGGTGTAGTGGTGCATGCCTATTGTCCCAGCACTTGGGAGGCTGAGGCAGGAGGATCACAAGTTCAAGGCCAGGCTGGGCTACATAACAAGACCCTGTTTCAAAAAACCAAACCAGGGCCAGGGATTTAGCTCAGTGGTTCTGGTGCCTGCCTCGGAAGCGCAAGGTCCCGAGTTTGATCCTCGGTACCAAAAACAAAACCAAACCAAAACATCCAAAAAACTGTAAATTCCCACATATATCTGGCCCCAAGGGTTTCTAATATGAGATTGTGGGCCTGTATTTTTTTTCCTTTTTTTGTTTGAAGAACCATCCAAAAGTGCTAGAGATGTCATAATATGAAGAGCTATCCAAATGTCACAGCTCAGAATGTGTTCCTTGTATAGTTAAATTAATTTTCCTGGAAAAATCCACAAATCTGGTAATGATAAATATCACGAAAAATTGAGGTACTTGTATTATTACTTCATTAATTACACATTTCTTCCCTGTTCCTAACCCATAATTCAAAAAATTTAAACCCCATAAGCCAGAAACAAACCCCTCAAAAGTTACACAAAGGAAAACATGTGAATTGGGAAAACAATGCCCATAAATTAGGAAGAAGTACTCTTTATAAACCACCAAGTAAATGAAAACCATTCTTAATTTTGTGTCTGAATAAAATTCGGAAATCGCAAGTCTTTTTTTTTTTTTTTGTAGACAGGGTCTTGCTCAGCAGTTCAGACTGGCCTCGAACTCATGATGATCCTCCTGCCTCAGCCTCCTGAGTGCTGGGATTCCAGGTGTGCTCCACGAGACAGGCTAACTCAGCCTGCCAGCACACCTGCTGTGGTTAACCCTCAGCCACTGAATTCCTGGGTAACTTCTTCCTAATTGTCTAGGTGTGGTGGGAAGCCCCTGAGGTGCCTGTGCTGCAGTGCTCCCACCAGTTCTCTTCCCTGAGTACCTGAGCCCTGAGCAGTACCTGTGGGCAAAGCGCTCTCTGCATGTGGGAGGCTCAGCCTGGGGAGCCAGCAAGGGCCTAAGCCCTGCTATAGGGTGAGTGAGGCTCACATGGGAGGCTTCTGTTTGTGATGCATGCTGCAGCCAGTGCTAGAAATGTTTCAGTTTCTCACTTAAAAAATTTCAATTGACTGTAGCCAGAAGGGCAAGCGCAGAGTATGCCAGATTCTTCATGCTGTTTTAGTCTCTTGGTTAACAAGACAGATCAGCACTTATTTAAAAACACAGCAAACTGCAGGGCGTAGTGGCGCAGGCCTGAGATCCCAGCACTCAGGAGGCTGAGGCAGGAGGGTCACTTCGAGTTAGAAGCCAGCCTGGGCTACATAGCGGGACCTTGTCTCAAAAAACAAAAAACAAAGCAACCCCATGGCAAATTGGCTAGAAAAGTCTGTCAGTATTAATCCTCAGGTACTTTTCACTTATAAAAAAAAAAAAATCTTTGAATAAAAATAAACATCTTAAAGTGAAATATTCTATGACAGAGAGAAAAATCTGTGGCTTGCTATGGTATCAGAAAAAAAAAAAAAGATTTAAAAATAAATGTAATTATCAGTGTTTTTCATATAACACTGTGGCTATTAATGCCAACAAGAATTTAGGGTAAGTTGGGGCCGGGGATTTAGCTCAGTGGTTTCGCTGCCTGCTGCACAAGCGCAGTTTGATCCCTGGTACCAAAAAAAAAAAAATTTAGGGTAAGGTAAAGTATGTCATAGAAAGCACATTTAGAAAAATCTGCTTTGTTAGCCATCAACTTGGATTTCTTCCAACCATTGTTATAGAAAAGTTGTACTTTGGAAGAAAGATGGATTTATTAGGATCCAGGTCTATTATAATCATCAAATGTCTTTTAAAAAAAAGTTTAAAAAGGTTAGCTTTTAACAGGTTTACGGATTATTTGAAGAATCATTCTTAGGCTGTCTTCTTGACCACGTATGCTTTGAATACCATGGTATTCATTTCTCTGGTCAGGTAAGTGTTTCTTGCTACTGGGAAGCTTTGCCTTTTACAGCATACTGCACCTTTAAGCATAATACATACTGCACAATCATCAGTTCTCACGAGGGCCGTAACTTTCTGTACAAGAAAAGCATGGCCCCAGCTGGTTAACAATGAGAAAATGTATGTAAACACCACATGGTGACCCACTTTTCTTATGTCCTTTGTATTGCTGGGACTTAGCCTTTTTCTTCTGCTTTGATGAAGCTGATTGGCTTTCTCTTGATGCTGAAAAAACAAAAGGGAAAAATTGGCACCAGGCAATTCCTTAGAATTCTAGCTATAACTCAGATGAACTATCTTTGTGAAGGCCACTATGCTCATGAAAGTATGTGATACTCTGAAAATAAGGGCCTATTTGTTCTTGCAAAACTACGACCATTACATCACACAAATTCTACTGTTCAATGGCACTCACTATACAGTACACCGATACAACTTTAATCTGTAACTTTTATCTTTGTGGTGCTCAGGACTGAACCCAGGGCCTTATGCACACAAAATGAGTATTTGGTACTTTTTTTTGGCGGGGGGGCTTATAAACTATACTTTTAAACTCACTAGAACAGCGGAATTTGGGGTGACTTATTTCTACAAGTCACTCTGTAACTGACCAGTGAGTTCACATAGCCATGGTACACACGGTCTGATCCTGATTCCTTACATCTTACCTGGAACCAGACACAGGTATCTTCTTGTCTGGTGAGCTCATAAGATGATTTGTGTGAGATCAGGCCTCTGGAGAACTGCTGATTTGTTTTCTAAGACCGGGTCTTGCTACGTAGTTCAGGCTGGCCCTGAACTCACTACGTAGCCCAGGCTGGCCTCAAGCTCACAGTGATCCTCCTGCCTCAGCCTCCTAAGTGCTAGGATTACAAGTGTGCACCACCACAGCCAGCTAGAATTGCAGATTTTTACAAAAGGACACCTTTTCTGTGCACCAACTTACACTGTGATGCTGGAGGCTGCAGCTGGTATCCAGTTAACTGACACCACCCGACAGGATAGAGGTCAGGGGACTCACAGTCTACCCACTGATCATACTCTTCTTCCCATCCATCAAAATGGATCCTCAAGAGACGATGAATAATTCGCGTTACCGTGGCTACACATATTAAACGTGGCTCCATGAGGTCTACTGCTTCTAATTTCATTCCTACACGAAATCCGTGATTTGGAACATCCTGACACAAAAAAGGGAAGGATCAGTAGTGTGCAGAACAGAGGACAGGCAAGACTACAGACACCAAAACTACAGGAATTCTTTATGTGCACAAATCATGGGGGTGAAGTCTTTAAGAGCTAGTTAGGAAGGGTATTCATTTCTACTTCACTCAGATTAAAAATGAAACACTTTAGAAAGAAGCTTCTTTCCCCAAGTAGATATTCATAGTTTATCATCCTAAGGAAGCATTCATACTCATCTTCACTAAGAAATTCTAATACAGCAAAGGCATCTTCATCGACAAGGACTGACTGTTGTCATTACGAGGCTGCCAGGTAAATTTACCTTATTAAACAGTTTTACTGGTGCTGCAATGGAGCCAGATTCCCTGAGGTAGTCAAACCATTTAAAAGGAAGTTTTGTGTAACCTGAAAAACACAACTGGTTTAAGGAGCAGTTCATTCAAAATTGGCCAGTATTAACATGCAGGTAAAGAAACTCAACACACGAGATCTTGGGCCTCAGGTGCTAGGACGGACCTCTAAGTCACGCCCTAACGCTGGGTGCGCAGTGAGCCAGCCCTCCCTGCAGTGCAGGCGTCCTCCCTTTAGGACACGAGAGTGTCCTACTTACCTAGTGCAAGAGCCACAGGAAGGAGAGACTCCTGCTTTGTGTTTTTTTTTTGCGGGGCAGGGGCTGCACTATCATGAGCTACACAGAAACCTCAGATTTTTGTTCTTTCAGTCCTAAGCTTTGGAATAGTCTGGTACTCTATAGAGATATTTTCCTTTTTTTCAAAGAAAGAAAAGTAGCTGAGCAAATATTTTTATTAACCTTTGTTTTTACTTTCCTCCTCATCTTACAAAAAAAACCCCTCAAGGGTCAGATACTGAAATTAAAAAAATCACTAGTTAGGGCCGGAGATTTAGCTCAGTGGTTCCGCTGCCTGCCTCGCAAGTGCAAGGTCCTGAGTTCGATCCCTGGTACCAAAAAAACAAAACAAAACCAAAAAAATCACTAGTTAAGTCATGAGAATTCTTTTTTCTGGTACTGGGAATCGATCTCAGGGCCTCACGCTTGCCAGGCAGGCGTCACGGCGCTGAGCTACATCCTGACCCAAGGTTTTTTTGTTGTTGTGTTTTGGTACCAGGGATCAAACTCGGGACACTGCACTTGGCTTGCGAGGCAGGCGGCGGAACCACTGAACTAAATCCCCAGCCCTCTATTTTGTTTTTTTTTTTACTGGGTGTCACTGTGTAGTTCATTCTGTCCTTGAACTCACTATGTAGCCCAGGGTGGCCTCAAACTAGAGGGGAATCTTCCTGGCTCAGGTTCCAAAGTGCTGGGATTTCAGGCATGCACCACCATGCCCGGATAAATCGTGAGTTCTTAAAGACATTCATCTTTTTAAACCACCGCGTGGTACAGAGGAAAACCTCATTTCTTCAAAGGCTAAGTATCCATTTAAAAAATGCTCCCATGTGCCTCAGCATGTGGAGATCTCCAGAACAGGGATCCACACTGTAATGTGTGCAGATGCTCAAAGGAAAGCTCACCTAATGTATCAGAACTAAACTAATGCTTTAGTGCAAACCTCAGCTCTGTGTGAACCCATGTGTTTACCCCCCCCCCCCACACTCACTCACTCACGCCTGCCACAGTCCACCTACATGGCAAGGAAACCGAGCACCGTGCCCAAAGCAAGCAGCCAGCGCGTGCAAAGCAAAGGTTTGCGTTGGTCACTGGATGCGCTACCTCTGGGCGGGGTAAGTTCGATCATGTTAATTTCACAGAAACCAACGGGGAAAATGGAAGGGGAGGTTGCGTGGTAACAGAACCAGTCAGATCCGTCTGCTGCTTCCGAGCCATCGATCCCGATCATCAGGTATCCATCAGCCAGCACCTTTGAAAGGAAGAGAATCCCGAGTGCGAGGATTAGACACCATTGCCAAAGATCTCCTCAGAATAAAAAAGCTTTTTACTCAGTCATGTTAAGTAATAGAAGTTACAATAAAAAATCTATGTGAACTACAGTGTATCCTTGTATTATGAAGCTGATATTCTTTTTTTTTTTGGTACTGGGGATCAAACTCTGGTCCTTCCGCTTGCAAGGCAGGAGGCGGAACTGCTGAGCTAAATCCCCCACCCTGAAGCTGCTGTTCTTTTATAGGTTAACAGGCTACTATCAAGGGTTTCCCCCCTGGTGGTGCTGAGGACCGAAAGCAGGGCCTTAGCACTGAGCTCCAAGCCCAGCTCATTTTTTGTTTTGAGACAGGGTCTTGCTAAGTTGCCCAGGCTGGGCCAAACTTCAATCCTCCTGCCTCAGCCTTCTGGGGTACTGGTATTACACAGGTCTGAGCCACCGGGTCCAGCTTCTTCCTTTCTCTTCATTTATCACATACAGGAATTTTCCAAACATTCTCCACTTTCTTCAAGCTCCAGCTTGAGCTTTCTTATGCTCTAGCCCACAGAAGGGACCCTGTACTCCATTTTTCTATGCATGACTCATGTTGTAACAAGTAGCTTGCCTCACCTGTCTTGTTTTTTTCAGACAGAGTTTTACTTTGTAGTCCGGGCTGGCCTCAAACTCACTGAGATCCTCTTGCCTCAGCCCCCCTAGTTTCCCAGTGCTGAGACTGCAGGTAGGTGGCATCATGCCCGGCTACCTCCCCTCTGCATTTTTTTTTTTTGGTACCAGGGATCGAACTTGGGTCCTTGCGCTTGCGCAGCAGGGGGCAAAACCACTGAGCTAACTCCCCCCCCCCCCCGCATTTTTAACAAGACAAACTTCTCCATCTTCTCTATTACCACCAAGACCTTGTTCCAAAGAAGTCACTCTCTGGTCCCCAATCTCCATTAACATTAAACATATTTTATCCTCAGCACAGGAAAAGCACAAAGAAAGATCCAAACGTACAGAGAAGGCACAAGTACCGCTCAATGAACTCTGCATGTGCCGCGCCCAGGGACCACGGGACTCCTTGCCAGCCGCTTCTGTGCCTACCCAGCCCGCCATACTCACCAGTGTCCTGACCCAGTGGGCCTTCCTGTACACAGAGCCCCCAAACTTCCCCTCCTTGCGGGATCTGATGACTGTTAACAACTCTACTCTCTCACATTCTCTCCCGGACCTTCCTCACATCCGCGCCCCTATTATTCCCTGTACTTTCTGTGCCGGGTCACACAGCCCGGGGCCTATGCATGCTGGCAAGTGCTCTCCTCTCCTGCTCAGCTCCGTCCCTCACCCCGGCTCCAACCCTCTTGGGAGCCTTCATCTGACCTTGTGATCTTTTAAATTTTTTCTTTTTGTTATTGTTGTTTTTTAAATTTATTCTTTTATTGGTACATTTTAGGTATACAATACGTTTACATTTATCCTTGGGTGCTTGTACCTGTACGTGATGTATCTCGGTTCTTATTTTTTCCCCCATTCCCCATGCACCCTTTACCCCCTCCACCCTTCCCTATTTACATAGATTTTGTTTCCATTTTTTTCTTTTCTCATAATTTTTCCTTTCCCTTCTTCCCTTTCTTGTTGTTTTTTTGAGACAGGATCTCGATATGTAGTTCAGGGTGGCCTTGAACTCACTGTGTAGCCCAGGCTGGCTTCCCACTCTGGGAGACCCTCCTGCCTCAGCCTCCCAACTGCTGGGATTACAGGAGTGTGCCACCATGCGTGGCTTCACCTCTATGTTTTTAAGTTAGCCAGGAGATCTTGATTCTTACAGGGAATTGAGAAGTCCTCTTCTAGATGCTTTCATAAGAACAGTTATATGAGAGGGAAAAGAGAGAAGACAAAGTACTACCAAGAAGAAGAAAATTCATAAAAAGCAAACACAGAAAAGTGAGGATAAACTTGGTCTTGTTACAATTCTGTGGTATTGTTCAGACCAGTAAGGAACTTAAATCAACATTCTTTCTCTAATTTAGGATATACTTCTGTAAGTACGGGGAATAGACTCAAGATGACTATTCTGACAACAAGCAATAAAAAAACAAGATCTGAAGGTGGGTGTGGTAGTTTCTGCCTGTAATCCCAGCACTTGGGAGGCTGAGGCAAGAGTATTTGGGAGTTCAAGGTCAAACTGGGCTACACAGTGAGTTCAAGGCCAGCCTAAACTACCTAGCAAGACCCTGTCTCAACAAAGACAAGCACGCACACAAAGATCTGACAATAGAATTCAAATTCATTTTGAAATTTCAAATGGAATATGATGGGACCTCTTTCTTCTATCAGCTTGAAACCAGTTCCTATAATTGTTATTTCTGTATTTTATTTCTTTTGTCATGGTTTGTTTTTGGTACCGGGGATCGAACTAGGGACCTTGCGCTTGCGAGGCAGCCGCGCTTGCGAGGCAGCCGGCAGAACCACCTAGCTAAATCCCCGGCCCTATTTCTGTATTTTAAAATCTATTTTTTGTTTTGGTTTTTGAGACAGGAGTCCTTCTGCCTCAGCCTCCTGAATGCTGTGATTACAGGGCTGCACCACCATGCCCAGCTTAAAACGTAGTATCTTAAAAAAAAAAACAAAAAACCTATCATCTTACCTTTCTAATGGTCGCGACACATATTGTGGAAAGATTTAATGGGTCTATAGCCTCCAATTTCATTCTTTCCTTGAACCATTCTCCACTCTGGTCTACTTCTTTTACCTAGAAAATTATATGAAAGCACATATGCTGTTATAAGCATTGTCATCTTAATAATGAAAATATCACCAATTTGAAATGGTTTATCAGATGCCTTCTCCTACCTAATACTATAACTCAAATTTCCATTAGGAAATAAAGAGAGTCCAGACAAACAGAATTTACAAATAATTATAACAGAGATCTGTGACACCTATAAATTATAAGGCCTAGTAAAAGTACATATGTAACTGCCATTTCTGTAATTTTAGAAAACAACCCACAACCTTCTTTCAAACCTAACTTACAAATGAAGGTTCTTATAAAAACTTCTTACCTTAGCAAATAAATGTGGTGGTGTATCAAAATGTCCATCCTGTTTCTTTGTAATATCTACAAGGAAAAGTTACATACTAATCTGTCAGCATTTGTGAGAAGACCAAAAACCACGTCTCGTTGAAGGTTACACACTCACGAGGCAGAGGCATGCAACACTCTATGGCCAAGGACATGCCTTCCAGCCCTGGTGAATCGTGTGCTTTAACAGTCATTTCTTTCCTTGGGATACACATGCATATGCTAGACACAGTTCAGCCAAGCAGAATGCTGATACTCATGTAACCAGGGAATTACAACTTCAGACACGTGTTTAGATGTGTCTGGAACCCACAATTAATCTTGCCACTTTGATTAAAACTGAATTGAAAGAGAAAGACTATCTTGACATCTTTCAAATGGGCTGGATAAGAAAGAGGAAGAAAATAATTGTGATCAAAAGTATGTTATAATAGGGCCAGAGATTTAGCTCAGTGGTTCCAGCGCCTGCCTCACAAGCGCAAGGACCCGAGTTCGATCCCTGGTACCAACAACAACAAAAAAAGTACGATATAATAATCATTACACATGTATTATTTTTGTGGCACTGGGGACTGAACCCAAGGCTCTGTGGAGCAAAGTGTATTATTTTTTAATTGAGAGTAAGTGGAAGGAATACAAAGCAATTAGCTAGGACACTAAGATGGTGTGAACCCTTCATTAATTAAGGTAGAATAAGCAGCCCAAACAACTAGGATGCTGTTTTTGCCCCAAAGTGCTCGGAGTAGGGGGTCAAAACCAGGGTCTTGCACGTGCTAGGCAAATGGTCTACAGTGAGCTACATTCCTAGTCCTAGGATGCTGTATTTGGTCCATGCTGTCTTGCAAAGAAAAATAAACAAGTAGTGTAATTCGGCCTCTGTGCTCCTTCGCCCAGGAGTTCTTTTGACAGGTACTTACCAGATCTTTTGAATCGATGGCCTATGCTTCGAGACCAGCCAATGTGGTGGATTAAGGGGCTATGCATATGGCACCAGAAGTCGTCTGTCCTGTCTTCGCTCTCTTCATACACCAGTCTCAATCTCCCTCCGATGACACTTTCCACCACTGCTACTCGTGTTCGACACAGATGTCTCTTGTCAACCACTTCTACTCTCATGCAAGGCTTGAAAGGATACTGCATACTCTCTGAAACCTGAAACAGAAGCAGACAAAACCTATTCAGAACACACGACCAAAGCGGTATGATAAGCAATTTTAATACTGAGTGCTAAAGATACCAACGACACTTAATATTTAACATAGATCATCCAGTTCATGAAATTGAAATAACTCTAAGTATCTTCTAAGTTACTCTTTCAGTCCCGTGTTAAGATCCCCTTTTTACCTTTTGTGAGAAGTCAGGAGGAAGTGTTTTGGCACCAGTAAGTCTTTTTACTAGAAAAGCTTTCCAGTTTGTATATTTATGCTGAATAGCTAAAACAAAAGAAATAATCAGTTACATTTTAGAAGAATGAAGAACTGCTTCCGTTGTTTTTAAAAAAAAAAAAAGTATATGGCCTGCGGGCACAAAAGGTACTTTTAATTTCTCTATTACTTTAAGGTGACTATGTGTGAAATAGCATTACAACAGGTACATTGGCAATCACAGGATAAACCAAGCACTTACTTCTAGGAGGAACAAGAGGTTTCCCACTGGCTGCACACCACCCAACTGGATGGATATCCGAACCACATATATTGCACCAGAAGTCCAGACCAGAGTCATTTTCAAATCCTTCATATCTTAAGAGAGCGTTGTAACCTGGAACCAACAAAGCGATCACTACATAGTAAGAAAACTCCAAAAACAGCACAGCATCTGCATCTAGTAATAGTTATCAAGCTTTAGCGCACATCTGCAACAGAAGCAGTTGTTGGCTTTGTTAACAGAAAGAGAGCTGGGCCAATTCCAGAGACTCAGATTTGGCAGCTACCTGGCGAGTTTCCCTTTGCTTGCAGTGCTGGGGATGGAAGCCAGCGCCGTGTGCACAGACAAGAGTCCTGGGGTGATGCTGTCCCTACCGTCTGGACCAAGCTTTGGGACCCACTTGCTCCACGCAATTAGTTCAACTGTTTTCGAGGCTTCCTCCTCTGAATGCATTTCAATTTTACCCATACTTCTTCAGGTTTCAGGAAAAAAAGCCCCCTCAGTGAAAACAGGTGGGATAGCTTTATTAGAAGACAGCTCCGGCTGGGTGTGGTGATGAAAACCAATAATCCCTGCACTCCAGGGAGCCAAGGAAGGATTGTTTCAAGTTCAAGCCCAGCTTGGGCAATTGAGGGATAACCTGACTCAAAATTTAAAAAGAAAGCACACCAAAAAATGGCTGGGATGTAGTTCAGTGCAAAGGCCCTGGGTTCGATCCCCAGTAGCGACAAATAATTCTAAAAAATACAACAGCTTTTAATAAATTATAAAACCCTGTCATGTCACAAAAATCCAGTTGAAGTATATTTCAAAGAAATTGCCTCATCCAGCTGATTAGATAGGCAGTTACTTTGGATAGTCTGGATGTGGCTACTTCCAGAATCTAATTTAAAGTCAGGAATGGTGGTGCATGCCTCTAATCTCAGCACTCAGGAGGCTGAGGCAGGATGATCTTAAATTTGACGTCAGCCTGGACTATACCGGACTATATCTTGTCTCAAGACACAGCCTCCACCCCCAATTCCAATTTAGTCAGCATGTGATGAGTGCCTGTAACCCACCTACTCAGAAGGCTAGAGCAGGAGGATTTCAAGTTTGAGGTCAGCCTAACTTAGTGAGACCCTGTCTCAGAATAAAAAGTAAGAAAAAAAAAAAAAAAGAATAAAAAGTAAGAAGTGCCAGGCATGTGGCCCATGGTAGAGTGCAAGCCTCAGGCATGAGGTCTGGATTCAAGTTCAAGTACTGTTAAAAAAAAAAGTCTAAGTTTTTCTTTTATTTGGAAATATGATTTGAAAATTTAAGTTGAAAGTTCAATAAAAACAAAAGTTTGTGTAGTCACTCAAAAACTACATCATGGGCAAACAGGAAGCCTTGTGGTCTGGAAAAAAAAATGCTAAGTATACTCTCTGATTTTAATTATAAACTTTGTACTAAACAGGTCAGGGCTTTAAGGCCTTTATGAATAAGAAAGGACCAATACACTTATTTTTTTTAATTTTTTATTTTTTTTGTGGTACCGGGAATCGAACCCAGGTCCTCGGGTTTGCGAGGAAGGCAGTGGAACCACTGCACTAAATCCCCGGCCCCCAATACACTTATATTTCTGGCAAGTTCAGCTAGCATTTTTATGCACCAGTACCTGTGACGAAAATTTATAACATTAAACTTAAGTGACAAAATTTAGTAATTCACAGAACTAATGTTTAAGATTGTAAAGTACTAGGTGAACTTTTACTTATTTACTTATTTTAAACTCCGGGGATTCATCCAGGAGCTCATATACAGGAGGCAAGCGCTCTAGCACTGAGCTACAACCCCAGCCCTTCTTGAGACAGGGTCCCACTAAGCTGCCCAGGCTGGACTCAGATTTACACTCCTCCTCCTCAGCCTCCTGAGGACAGTATCGGGGGGGATTACAGGCTGGAACTCTAGTTTATGATTAACACATTTAAGGCTCACCTCCTTTAAGGCACAAGGACTTAAAGACCACATAAGGTCAAATTAGACAAAACGGAAATGTAAGGTCAGAGAGGTTAAGTCAGAAATCATTCTTGGATATTAAATTGGGCTAACTGATCTAAATGCACTGACTCAACATCTGTGACAGAAACAAAAACATTGTTTAGATTACAGTGTAGAAAATAATAGAACCATTTAAAGTACACTCATATAGACAGGGAAATGTTTCCAGCGAAAGGTTGGATTACACTGGTTAATACGACTGGGTAATATGACGAAGAGTGGAGCTTGGAACACTCTTGATGGAAGCCACTGAGGTGACAAAAAACACTGCATGACGGAAGGGGAAGGAGAGGGAGAGAGAAGCACACACTAGTTTCATTAGAACAGACCACTTACGTGGGGGAGCAATGAACAGTATTAGCCATAGGCTAGGGACACGCTGCAGCTTGAGCAGAAAAGTGGAATTACTATTTTTAGGGGCTGAAGATGCAGCTCAGTGGTAGAGCACCTGCTTAGCATCACCAGCACTGCCCAATATAAAAACACAAAAAGAAAAGGCAAAGGCTATCTTTAGGTAAGTCTAATAACAATCTACAGTAGAGCATTATGCAGCAGAGGCTGGAGATTAGGCAGCAGAACGAGCGAGACCCCTGCACTACACAGTAGGCCTCTGTCCTCGAGGGGCTGCCCCTCTGCTAGGTAGCACAGCACCGCAGTGCACGTGCGCTGCTCAACAGGCAGGGATGCTGTGCTTGTGCTCGGTACCCTGCTTTCACGGCAAGTCTTACACCTCTACGCTTGCCCACAGTGTGTAACACAGGAGGGCCCTAATTCTTTTACTTCGTGAGCAAGAAAAGTCACAAGGGCTGGGAATAGTGGAGGTCATGGAAATGAAGAGAAGGAACCCAAGATATATTAAATCATCGGTATTTCTTTAATTTTGTATCGTTGACTTCACCCCCCGCCCCCATACTGGGGCTCAGACTCAGGACCTCGGGCTTTCGAGGCAAGCACAGAGCTGCTGAGCTAAATCCCCAGTTCTTCATTTCTTTTTTTAGTAATTCAGTTTTTCTTTGAAGTATTTCTCTATATAACAGTGCTTGGCAAACCACTTATGGCCCACTGCCCGATTTTCTTTCTTTTTTAACAGCCCAGGATCTAAAAATAGTTTCTACATTTATAAATGGTTGAAAAAAATACAAGGAAGAATCCTCCAGAAGATACAAAAATTACATGAAATTCATGTTTCAGTGCCCATAAATACAATTCACCTGGAACATATTCATGCCCATTTACTTACGCACTGCTATGGGCTGCTTGCATGTTACCATGGGAAAGATACGAACGGTGTACCATACACCCTACACAACTGAAAATATTTCTTTTTTACAGGAAAAAATTTCCAACTCCTACTCTGTATCATTTCATTTATTTGCTAATACTTGCAAAATTTACAAACATACCTTTTCACAAAAGTTTTTATGTATCACTGGCATTTTCTAGTACATTACAGTGCATGCCTCACCTGCTAACTTTATAATCCCAGCAATCCAGAAGACCTTGGTAGGCAGGCTGCAGTCTGTGTTGGGAACTTCCACTCTCACATGCTCTGAGATGTCACCCCAGCAGGTCCCCATTGGTGCCTGTCATATAAAAATGACTGAATTACTGTCTTATTAACATATAGCCTAAAACACGTCATTTAAAATTAAGCATTATCATTATCAATGAAAGTAGGAAACTTATTTTCCCCATTGCACAATATTTTATTTAAAAAAAGAAATGTTAGGATCAAACTCAAGCTGAAAAAAGAATTCACATATATTAAACAGGTCTATTTTGACATCAAAATCCAACAGTTCTGATACAACACTTGAGCAATCTTTCTAAAAGCTGAATTACAAACCTGACAGACTTCACAAGATCAAGCTGCCTTGAGAAATTTATTTTTAGTGTGTACTGAATGAATTCATTTAACCTAACTCTTCATTTTAAAAGATCTGGCCAAAGAGCAGAAAGAAAAATAATTCTAATCAGCAGAGTAGTTTCCAACAATATGAACAGGAGAAATAAAACTGGGCCATCTATATTTTATTTTTTTGGTACCGGGGATCGAACTCAGGACCTCACGCTTGCCAGGGAGGCGCGGTGTCACTGAGCCACATCCCTGGCCCTGGCCATCCATGTTTTCAGTTTAAGTGGAATTCATAGAATATAGTCTATTAGGATATACATGAGGGAAAAGCACTGAATAATTAAAAAAGTGTAGCTAACAGTCTTTTGGAGATGAGCACGATAGTAAATTGTTAAATTATTGATCATTTAAAAAATTTCCTGTGCAGGAATCCTTCTAAGAGAAAACTTACAATGTTAGAATTGGTGATCACAGGCTTCTACAACAAATGATTAAGATGGAGACTCAGAAACCAACTAAATGAGCATTGTGAAGGGATTTTCCCAAAATATACATTTCCAAATTACCATTTCTATCGCATTTTAGTCCTTAAACCGCAAGGCAAGTCATGAGAGTTTATACAATGGTAAATGAAATCAAATGAGTGAACTCAGGAATTTACATAAATTCTGTAAAGCTCTTTATGGCCCTGGATAATTAGCTCTTCTCAAAAATAATTTAGAACCTTGGACATAAAAGGATTAAGTGAGGTTGCAAAAGACCTGATCATATGAGTAAATCGGAAAAAAATAAAATAGCCTCAAAGCTCTAAGACAAGCAAAGAACTAATCAATTTGGACTCTGGGTTTCCCACTGAAGGCCCCTCATACTTCACAGATGCTAACCCACAGGAGGACTGGCCTCAAATAACATTCAACACTTCTCCTTTCAATGGTTTATAGTTTCTGAAGGAAAGGAAGAGACTGTCAAATAATACTGAACTAGGACAAGCCTAAAAACCAGAGACAGAGTCAATTAACGACTGCTGCTTTGAGTGGACAACAGTGAACACACCGCAAGTACTGGGAGACACGCCCTGGCCCAGCTATTTGAGATTCTGGGAAGGAACCTGTGCTATCACCTTGAGCTGGGGGAAAAAATTCATTGTGATTGCTTTTCCTTTCAAATTAAAGTACTGGACCCTTCAGGTTCTGCTCTCTCCCCCTACATCATTCTAGACTGTAGGGCCATCCCTATTGCCAGCAGATATGATCAGAAAAGGAAAGGCTGGAAGGAAGACAGGTGACACAGACTAAGCTACCACGCATTAACACCGAGACTATTCGCTCCTGTGAGGGGAAGCAATTAGAGCAGACAGATGCAGTTAAATGCATGCATCAAATTGAGGTAGGATATTCACTCCTCTTTGCTTGACTGCCAAATATGTGAACTGGGTTTCTTTTTCATCCAAAAAGAAAGAGTCATGGTTATGCTGATCAGCTGCAGGTTAGGTTGGCACATGGCTACCTGAATGTGGTAGACAAGATTCCCTTTTGAGCTGGGTATGACAATCTGTTGTATTAACTTTTTTAAAATTATTAAAACTGTAACATTTGTTTGGAGAAAATAACTTTCAGCCACATTTTATTAAAGAAAACAAAGTGTCAATATACTCAAAAAATAAAGGTAATGTTCACTCTAGTGGGTGGGAGATCTTATGTTTTGGTCCCTACAGTCTGGATTGGTATAGGAGAAAGTAGCAGAAAGTGACATTTGTTCTTGCCTGTAAGGTTGTGGTTCTGCTAGGCCCTCTTAAACCAATCCATATGGTTCACTCTACAAAAAAAATGAAACACAAACATCAACAAGAAAGAGCACCACAGTCATGGCATAGTATGTGCTCAACGTGTTGAAATTAGGTGATGTCATAGGTATATCTGCCCTTTTGTTTCAAACGAAAACTCGTAAGTGTGGAAGACTAAATGACCCAGGGCTTGACAGCCATCTTCATCCAAGTCATCTGTCTTCTCGTGCTGGCAGGAGGGACACCTCTGCAAGTCTGGATTGGCACAGCATGAACTAGCAGAACCAGCATTTACAGGTAACAACAAATTTACCTTCCAGACTCAGGACGCGAGGTCCACCTCAGGCTCCTCCCAAACAAGGAAGATCTGCTCCACCACTTCCTGCTCCAGGGCCTCTCGTGAGAGCTATCTGGGAGCGACGCTCCTTCCCTGCAAGGTAAGCTGTCATCAGGTCCTGCAGGACACAGCCAAATCCAAATGCTGCGGGGTCCCCAACACAAAGTATGACAACCTCCACTCCATGTCTCAGAAAAGAACTGGGCAGGAAGTCTCATTCTTCTGCACTTCAGGACACCCCCAGACAGTCCAACAGCCCTGATGGCCAGTACAGGGTTCAGGCTCTCAGAGGACACACATGATCTTTAGGGCAGAAACGAAAACTTGCCTCCACAGAGATGCTGGCCTAGATCTTTTGGTAGCCACACACAATCTTTCATGTTAAGAGACTACAAGAGGTCAGACCTGAAGTAGCGCAACAGGTCATCAAGAAGGAATCCACTTCCACAGTATGGCAAATGTACAAAAGCCACCTTTAAAATAACTTAAAATGAACAGACATGTGGTTACTGAAGTGCATCTAGCAGAGAACGAAGAATTAGTATTTGGCCAAAAAAAAAAAAAAAAAAAAAAAAAAGAGAATTCCTACATACTACTTACTGCATTTGGCCCAAAACAGAAACATGAAGAAAAAACTTCTCCCACCCTCTCCAGAAAGTCCACTCACCTTCTGATCTGATACCAGAGCCTTTATTTTAGGGTGGTGGTATGGAGATGGGCAGTGCAAGGGGAGTAGAGAAGGAAAACGGAATGTTCAGGGTGGAAGATTAAGGATTGAGGAAATGACAGGCATACATTACACAGGAACCAGAGACCACTAACTTGAAGGCTTAAAATAATCCAAAATTAAGAAAAACCGTGTTAAAAAAAAAAAAAAGAAAAACTGTGTTAAAGCAATATTATTTATGCATTAGGAGATCCCCAAAGGAAAAAAAAACACTGTGGGAAATAGACCAAAATTATGACAGTAATTCACATTTAGCCTTGCTTTCTTCTTGCCAAAAAAAAAAAAAAAATTTATTAGGCTCTCTTTAAAATGTGATTTACATCACACGCAGGCCCAATACTCTGCCACAGATTCTCCTTCATGGCACCAACCGGTAATTTCGGATAGAGCCCTGACAGGTGCCAGAAGCAAATTCAGCTTTTGAATGGAGATGAGAAAGAAGTAATGTGATCTAGGATGATACACCAAAGATTCTACCTTTAGTTATAAGAGATAAAGTATTAATTTTCAATTGTCAATAGAGTCCTGTGTGTGCAAGTTTAGGAAAAAAAAACCCAAACCAAACCAAACCCAGAAAGTAACTTTACTAATATGTAGCTGAGAAAAGGGACATGAACTTAAAAAAATGCATATATAAGCATAAAAAATATGTATTTTGGAAGGTTTTTTGGTATTGGGGATCAAACTTGGGACCTTGAGCTTGTGAGGCAGGCGGCGGAACCACTGAGCTAAATCCCCAGTCCTTAAAAAATATGTATTTTAAAACAGAGTCTTACTATGTAGTCCAGACTGGGCTCCACCATGCTATACAGCACAGGCTGACCTCAAACCTGCATTCTGCATTGCTCCTGTCTCAGCCTCCCTAGTGCAAGGGTTATAGGGTCTGTACCATCATGCGTGGCCTGAGTTTTACTATAAAGCTACTGCATACATACAAGTGAAAGAGCTTTTATTTTTCTGTCCTTAAACCTACAATTTTATGACATGTTACAAATATGATAACTTTATTCCTTCAAAAAGTTGACATTTAGGTTCTGTACAAGAGAGAAAATTAGAATGCAACGTGATACCAGGTGTATCTGCGGAAACAAACTGGAAAAGTACGACTGAGCTTGAAATCCATAGTATCCACATGTACAAAGGGCTTTCTTTTGCACAAAACTACAACTACTTTCAAAGGAGAGTATAAAGTGATTTACATTTTGATTAGCAATGACAGTATCAATAAACCATGAAAGTATATAGTTGAGGTACCAAAGAGAAGAAATCCTAACTTTGTAAATATATAACTGGAGGAATATAATTTTAGCTTTTCTTTTTTTTTTTTTAATTTTAGCTTTTCTATGGCTTCATGTACATCTGATATTAGCACATTCTGGGCCACGCTTCCTACCTAGGAAAAAACTATTTTTACTTACTTTTGTAAGGTGAACAATGGGAAGTAGGGATGCTCCAATTTAAAGACTGCAGTCTTATAAAGTTGAAAAAATTAAGATGCTTTAAAGCTAAATATTCTTAATTCACATTAATCAACCAGAAGTTTTCTTTTCTTTTTTTTTTTTTTTGGGTACCGGGGATCAAACTCGAGTCCTTGCACTTGTGCAGCAGGCGACAAAACCACTGAGCTAAATCCCCAGCCCTGGAAGTTCTCTTGTAATAAACTAATAACAGAAAATAATAATCTGATAATCTGAATTTCATGAACATACATCGTGCCCCTAAATGGCAGATTGTACTGTATAATATTTTGGATATTTCTCTCCATAGCTTATGGATATGGATACTGCTATTAGGGACTTCATAGAAAGCTTAATTTGGAAAAAAGACAAAAGCAAGTTAAAGCCCAAAGTTGAAGATTATAAACGTGCTACTCAAAAAAATAACAAGAATGTTTTCATTTAAAAGAGATGGACTGGGTAAACTAGATGATTTTAAAGATGTCTCTCAGCTCTGTAACCACATACTCCAGGATTAATTAGAAGTGGCATTACTGCATTCAGTGGTTTCCCACTGAGGTGGCCAGGCTCAGGGACAAACTTCTGGCGGCACTCCACTCCCTGCCAGGCCAGTTGCTGCGTTTCCTCTTGACCTTTTACCCTGGCTATGTTCTGAGGTCTGAGTCAGATTTTATTAGGGAAAAGGGAATTCTGAGGCTTAAATAAAAGGTCTGAAAAACTACCCCTAGATGAAAATGAATGAGATACAGTGATACTTTGGTTCACAAACTTAATTCGTTCCATGATTCTGGGGAAGATGGCTGTGTTCGTGTCTGTGTGGGGAAGATGGCCGTTGTCGTATTTGTTACCGGATTCAGAGTTCGAGAATGAAAGCACAAGTTTGCCAAATGCTTCTGTTTGCGAGCCCAATTGTTTGAAACCTGAAGCGTTCTGAACTGAAGCATTGCTGTACATGGCAGTCCTAATACACAGACTTCAAAGTGACACATTAAGCAACAGGAATTCGATTTCCATTGTTTATTATAAAAAAATCACTGCTGCACTTAGTAATCACAGTACAGTTACAGCAATTATCTGAGATGAGTCTTATGATCAACTGTACACAATCTCTATCCCCAGAAGTTTAAACACACATGACAGTAGAGTTCTACACTTTATAATTTTAGTACTGACTGTAATAATATCCAAGTGTTGGAAAAGAAACTATTTATTTGGGACCCTACTCTAGGAGAGGCTGGCTTAACCACCAGGCAGGCAGGACTCTGATTCTGCCCTCACATCAATTTCCATTTCTTCAGACAGCTCTGCTTCTATGTTACATTTGTTTTTGAGGCAAGGTCTCACTATATAGTTCAGGCTGGCCTCAAACTCACAGTGATTCTCCTGCCTCAGCCTCCTGAGTGCTAGGATCACAGGCATGTGCCACCATGACTGGTTCTTAATTTTTATTTTATTTATTTATTTTTTGGTGCCGGAGATTGAACTTGGATCCTTGAGCTCGTGCAGCAGGTGGTGAAACCACTGAGCTAGATCCCTGGGCCCCCCTTTTTTTTTAAAAAAAATCACATTTAAAAAGAATCTCCTAGGGGCCGGGGATTTAGCTCAGTGGTTCTGGCGCCTGCCATGCAAGCACAAGGTCCTGAGTTTGATCCCTGGTACCAAAAAAAAAAAAAAAATGTCCTAAGAGCAGGGCGAGGCTCTAACCTGGGCTCATGCAGTTGACAAGGCAGGCACAGAGTCCACAGCAAGGGGGCCCTACTGGCCGTGCAGTGTTCGCAGCGCAGGTCATAGAAGACAATGTGGCTGTAAGGCAGGGGCTCCAGCTCCCACCGGCTCGCGGGTTTCCTGAGCCAGTGCCACTGATGGGCAATGAGGAAGAGTTGGCTCCGGAGGTCAACACTGACTTAGCATGTGGTCTGCATGGCTTCAGTGAAGGCGCCAATGAAGCGAGCAGAACAAACTCTTTGTACTACGCTCTCCTGTGGAGTTACAAATACGCACTTTTTCCTATTTGATAAGAAGGTGGGGGAATAGGAATGCACGGGGTCCATGCACTGCCAGACAGGTGCCTGGCTTTTGAGAAGGGGCCAGCACCATGCCATCATTATGAGTAAGGTCAGCTGCTGTCTTCTGGATGAGAAGGTACTCAGCTTTTTGAAATTTGAAACTTAATTTTTAAGTACAAAGTACATGAATCTTGTTTGTAAAAAAGCAAAACATTACGTGTTTCTATGACTGCCACCTCCAGCCCCACTCCCTCATTCCCCTCTAAAAAATAACCATAGCTCTCAGTTTAGTAATTATCCTTCCGGTCCTTTGCCAGTGGAACCTGCTCTTCTAACTGTGGAAACAGTAAAGGACAGAGCTGAGTGTGCGCTCTCTTCCTGCCCCTCACTGTGCTGGGAGGAGCCAGGACTCCTGCCAGGACCCAGCTCCATGCCAAGCCTTCCTGTTTCTGGGGACGGAATTCCCTGCTCTGCCATAGCACGTTCTAATCTTAAAAAGCAATGTGAAAAACAATGAACTTTATTCTAATAGGTTTTTAGAAACTCTACATTGCAGAACTTTAATATAACTTTAATATGCTCAAAGGCATGGACAGGAAACAAAATATGCTTCTGGGACTTTGAAATGCTATTTAAAAAATATCCCGATTACTTATATAAAAATGGCCTGATCTGGTTCATGGTATTAAAACATGAAAAGATGATCTAAAGAGAGATGACGGCCATTCAAAAGGAGATAACAGACAATGTTGCAGGAATCTGAGATAAATAGTTATAACTGAGAACTCACTCTAATTCTCAGATTCTTAGTACTACAAGGCAATATTCCAAAAAAAGTGTTTCTTTTTTGTTTTTGGAGACAGGTTCTTGCTATGTAGTCCAGGTTGGTCTCAAAACCTGTGCTAATCCTTCTGCCCGAGCCTACTGAGTGCTGGGATTACAGGTGTGCTCCACCATGCCCAGCCCTCAAAAGAAGAGTTAAAGATTTGCTTTGTAGTTGTCTTTAAAGCTGCTGGTTGGGATGGGGATTTAGCTCAGCGGCACTGTGCCTGCCTTGCAAGTGCAAGGTCCTGAGTTTGATCCACAGTACCGATGGAAGAAAAAAAAAAGCTGCTGGTGACATATAAGTAATGTATTTCATAAATGTGACATCATTATCAATACTAGAGCAACATAAATCACCTACTTTACATTGAGATTAGTCTTAAGATTCTGCTTAAAACTGTTTTAGATAGTCAACATGTCACTGACTCAGGGCTTAATGTTTGTACTTTCAAGAAAAAAGCCAGCATGTAAATGAGCTAGGCTTGAATTTATGATTCTGCCACTGAATGAGTCTACTTGATTTTGATCAAGACCCTTTCCTGGCTCTGAGTGTGTGTAAATTCTATCAGGATTTCCACAGCAGGAAACCAAGCCGCTCTGTTCACTCCATAGTATATAAGGTAAGTCCTAAATCAACAAGAAGTTAAGGGTAAACAAAATTTCATCATTTGCTAAATTCTCATCTTTTTAGCCATGGAAAGTAGCAGAGAAAATCTTAAATATAAATTAAACTTCTAATCAAATTACAAATACTGAGCAGAATGAATTACGGATAACCAAAAGGAAAGAACTTGTCACAGGGTACTCTGACATAATTCTCAACTACGTCAGAGCCTCTGAAAAGAAAACATTCTGAAGAGTTTTTATTCAGCTCACAATACTACATGACTGATAGTTCCTTCTTGTTTTTGAGGTTTTTACATTTGGAGACAAAAACCAAACTCAAAAATCCCGCCTTTTCTGAATCACCTGGTCAAATCACAAAGATTTAGGCAACTTACACAGCAGATAGTTTCTACCATTAGGCTGAGCCAGATGCAATTGTCCATATGCAACTATTTTGGATGTACACAGAACCCACTGATCATACGCTTTGACTTAATATGAACACTGGACGAGACTAGTACTTTGCCCTGTTTGAAAGTAATTTCAAATAGCAGCTCCCCCAACCCTTTCAGTGTTAGAAATGAGCCCAAAGATCTCTACCCCAAGCTACTCCCCAGCCCTCAAATCATGATTCCTTTATAGGAAGACTGTACTTATAAAATTTACAGAAGTTATTTTTAGTTCTTAATAGATATAATAGTTAATAAAAGGAGCATTTTCATTTTAAGGATAAGATACTTAGGTGTTATGGTACCTTCAGATTTAAACAATGACTGAACATTTCAAAATCAGGTAAGGAATTCCATACTCACATGTTTAAAACAGGTAACTGGAGCTGCTAGAAAGCTATTGCTATTGATGTAGTTACCCCAGCTGAACCCTTCCATGGAGACTGCTGAAACAAAATAAATTCAGATATAATTTTCAAATGTTTTTATAAGAAGGCTGCTATTATTAAAATATGAAAGAAAATGGAATTAATCTACTCTTTTTTTTTTTTTTTGGTGCTGGGGATCGAACTCGGGACCTTGCGCTTTTGAGGCAGGTGGCAGAACCACCGAGCTAAATCACCAGTCCCTAATCTACACCTTTTTAAAGTTTTCCTTTTTGCTTTAAAGACAGAAGAATTTCACTAAATAACTTGAGCTTTTAGCTGATACCATACAGGTCAAGAATCTCTTTTCTGAAATACCTGAGACCACAAGTGTTTCAGATTTCAGAATTTTTTGGATTTTTCTGTTTGTTTTTTTTCCAAGACAGGGATATACAAGTGGGCAACACCACAGCTGGCTGGATTTTTTTTTTTTTTGGGGGGGTGGTCTGCTCAGTGCTGCTCTGGGCAGCAAAGACGAAAGCCCTCATCTTACCAAACCTTTTATTCAGTATTCAGTACATCGGGAGAAACAAATATAACAAATGACATGCAGAGAGTTCAGTACATCCTGCGTAAAAAAGATGTAACAACCCAAGAACAAGGAGGAACTGAGTAGATGTTTGTTCCTCCCAGGATGTTTCTTGTCCTGGAGCATCACAGCATCACCAGATCCTTGAGGTCTCAGTTGTGACCAAAGGCCAAAATGGAGTTATGTCTCAGAATGCCATAGCTGGGCTGTAGCTGGCTGGATTTTGAGACACTGCTTAGAGCTTACTGGTGCTCCACAAGTTTCAGAGTATTTTGGATTTTACATTTTCTGACTAGGGCTGCTCAAGCTGTGTCTGCAAACTGCCGTCTCTGGAGTCTTCCATATGCATCACACTCTGGGAGGTGAGGTGCATGCTCTCCAGCCGCAGGAAGCCGTTCAGAGACACACCCAGGGCAACTAACACGGCTTGGCTGTTTTGTGTTTTAAAACCCACTCAGCTCTTACTGTGCCCCTCAGCAGTTACCTACCCAAAATCTACCACTTGGTGCCTTTACTACAGTTTTGGTTTTGTTTGGTTTTTTTTTTTGGTACCAGGGATCGATCTCAGGACCTTGTGCCTGTGAGGCAGGCACGGTGACACTGAACTAAATCCTTGGCTCTTGTTTTTGAGATGGGGTCTCACTATTTTTCCTAGGCTGGTCTCAAACTCCTGGTGGTCTCAAGCAATCTTCCTGCATCATTGCCTTACATTCTATTTATTTCCTTGCCTTTATTCTTCTATTAAGAAACTTCTAGCTGGATGTGACATTGCCATACAGGAAGCTGACACAGGAGGCCCCAAGTTTGAGGCTCGCAAGACCCTGTATTGAAACAAACAGACAAACATGCCGGGTATGGTGGCACACGCCTATAATCCCAGCACTGGGAGGGCTGAGGCAGGAGGATTGCTGGAAGTTTGAGGCCAGCCTGGGCTACATAGTGAGTTCAAGGCCAGCCTGAACTACACTGTGAGACTCTATCCCCGGCCCCTCCAAAAAAAAAAAAGGAAAAGGAAAAGAAACAAGTAAGCTGGGGATGTAGCTCAGGAGTAGAAGGTCCCTGGTTCAATCTCTAGTACTGGAAGGAAAAAAAAGGATCTAAAAGAATCTTCTATTAGAAGCAATCCCCACCCCGCTTTTTTTTTGGTACCGGGGATCGAACTTGGGTCCTTGCAGTTTCACAGCAGGCGGCGAAACCACTGAGCTAAATCCCTGGCCTGCAATCCCTTTTTCTTCTTCCCAGTCCCTTTAAAGTCTGCTCAATGTCCTATTTCTTTGCCCACAAAGCTCTCTGGACTGCACTGCACAGAGAACCAGTATATTAAAAAAATTAAATTGGGCCGGGATTTAGCTTGGTGGTGCCACTGCCTGCCTCGCAAGCACAAGGTCTGAGTTCGATCCCCAGTACCAAACAAAAAAAAAATTGAAAAAATTACTACGCAGTGGCCCTCTCTCCTCTGGAACAATTTACTAAGCACCACCAGGAAGCCTATCATGTGCTAATGGGGCATAGAAACAGCCAATTTCAAATGTCTTTACTTGAAACTAGATCAATCAGTATTAAATATTTCACAGGGTCAGGGATTCAGCTCAGTGGTTTGGGTGCCTGCCTCGAAAGAACAAGGTCCTGAGTTCAATCCCAGTACCCCCCGCCAAAAAAAGGAATATTAAATATTTCACTTCTGTTCCATTCATCAATATTACCTGCTTTCGTCTTTGCTTGATTTTGTAAGGTAGCTTGATACTGAGCGTAGGCAGCTAGTTTAGCAACTAAAGGTTGTTTCTGAAGAACTTTCGCTTTCTTTGTTGGAGGCTTACCCTGAAACAAGAAGAGTTAAGTAAATAGGATTCTTTTTCATCCCCCCATCACAGCACTTTAACATGACTGCATACTACTCATTCTGCTTAAGTAAACATTGAGGGTTTAGAAAATTATTGAAGCAGAGGAAACATACAAGGAATTTTAACATGAGAAAATTTTTCTGGCGTTCTGCTACAACACAGATATCTAATACGGGTAGCAGAGCTGGCACAGACTAAAACAGCAAAATGCAAATTAATATGTTAATAAAAATTATCCCATAAAATGTTAAAACATAGGCTTGGTGGATACTCAATTTCTTCTTACAGTGGATAGAACCAGTGGTTATTCACTCATGCAGGTTGCCAAGCATTGCTATTTATATGGTAAGAGAAGATAATTTATGTTCAAAGAGCAAGTGACTGAGGTTTATACCTTTAGTGCTAATGCAAAAGATCAATGACAAAATGACCATGGCCAAACTCAGTGTGACAAACTGCCATCCATTTGGGTACAGACCACTGCTCAGGATCTTTAGGTACTGTCTATCTGAAATATAGAAATACATCTAAGTGATGTATTTCCTTCATGTGGGGGATTTAAACAACCCTTTCAATGCTTTGAGACGATCACAAGTTAAAAAAGAAAAACGTGACCATCCAATAAAAGAGATTACAAAATTCAGTTATGTAATGCCTTTAAAAAGTTGTTTATATGGTATAACAACAACTTAGTCAAACAGTCAAGACTCCAATCATTTTCTAGGCACTGACGTACATGTTAAAAAAAAAAAAAAAAAGGTGATTTTCAGCCAGGCGTGGTGGCGTATGCCTGTAATCCCAGTACTGGGGAGGCGAGGCAGGAGGATCACTGCGAGTTTAAGGCCAGCCCTGGCTACATAGTGAATCTGAAGTCAGCCTGAACTACATAGCGAGACTGTATCCAAAAAAAAAAAAGTGATTTTTCTTCTTATTCCATGAATGTTTTCAAAAAGGTTATGTGGATTAATCAAGGACATTTGGTCAAGGTATCAAGTGGGTCGTCCTCAAAAGTCCAAAGCTGTGCAAATCTAGCATTCACAAGGCCCCGGGTCAGTCAGTCCCCAACACTACCACCACCACCACCACCAGCACCATGAAAAAAGGAAAAAGAAAAAGCATCAAGTAAAGGTAATGGGAAAATAAAACCAGAAAGAAATCATTTCCCCTCAAATGCTGGAAGACTCTACCTTGATACTAACTCAAAAGAAACAAAAATTTGTTTCTACTTATTTAGAAATGGTAGTATTTTTATTTCACTTACAAAACTCATAGTTTACTTTGGATAGCACGCTTTGTCCATTTAAAAGAGTTACTCAATTTTGTAAAACTTTGGAGCTCACACAGTTCCTAAAAATGTGAGACACAAAAAGGTAATGGGCCAGTTGGGCAGGGGTGGAGTGCAGCGAATCACAATCAGATGACAGATAAGTGGTGACAGCCTCGAAATGACAGATATAAACAACAAGAAGGTTTCTGTACCGTTACCTGAAGTCTGGCCAAAATGCTTGCCTTCTTGGAGTTAGACGAGTAACTTCGTGAACACGAGACACTGCAGAAACGTTTTGTTTTAGAGTAAAAGGCATCTCGCACACCGACCATCCCACACATCTCGCAGGTGGCTAATTGACAAAATAAAGACATTTTGGAATTATGGTCATATAATAAAATCAAATTTTAGCTAACATTTTAATAACTTTTTTAAGTCTCTAGAGGTTTTTATTTAAAACTTTGCCTTGAAAATTTCTTCTGTCTCTTACACAAACGACACAGAAGCCTACACAAAGTTAGAAGGCCAGTGTTATACCCTGGTGACACGGCCTGAGGCCTGAAAGGCATTAGAAAGGGTCAGGGGACACACGGATGTCAGTCAGATCCAGCTAATGTTCTTAGCGCTTACACATGTGTGAGGCATCTCCACACACATTACAAATTACAGATTCTCAAGAGATAGTAAACAAATATCTAAAATGTACCAATGAAATTAATTTAAAAAAACCAAAATGATCGTCTCCTAAAACTAAAAAGATAATAAATAAGATGAGAAGTACAACACAACTGAAGATTAATACAAACTGCAGTGAAAGCCTGTAAAATACTGCAGAGATTCAAATTTTTTTTTAAGGTAATTGTTTTTTTTTTGGTACCGGAGATCCAACTCAGGACCTTGCACTTGCCAGGCAGGCGAGATGCCACTGGGCAAAATCCCCACTGATTGAAACTTATAAAGAGCCAACACTTGGAAAAATTCTAAGGAAATTTGAATTTGAAAAATTCAAGTCCTGTTCCAGGGACCTGACCTGAAGGACAGGACAGATTCCACGTCTGAGGTAAGTGCTCTGCTGTTAACCGGTGAAGGGAGGAGACCGTAGGACTCCTGACGACCATGATATAAGGGATAACCTGAGAGGCGGAGTTAGACAGACTTCAGTTCCCAAGGCCTCAAGTGACTGCCGCTAGGGAAAGGGAAGTAGAAAGTCAAACACAGCAGACAACTGGGCCAACGCCTCCTCATAAAAAGTAAAATGGGAGGGACCGGCAGTATAATCAGCACTTAGGCATCCACCGGAAGTCATGGAAAGAAGGTAAAAACGCCAGAGGATGAGAGATGAATGCTGGCTACATTACTAACGTGAGAAATGACTGAAGGGGTCCTTATAGTGATTCTAGAACAGACTGTTAAAGGGTCGTGACGCCCTGGCTTTGTGGAAGTGCTGCAGAGGCACTTGCACACTGCGCGGAGCCCGGACTCCAGGACGTTCTTTTTCTTCTGTGAAGGAGAACAGCAGCCACTCTCCAGGGAGTCTCTGTCCCCAGAGATCACACTTGCTGCCTATCTGGCCTCTGTCAGGCCTCTCCCAGCCTGAGGATCATGCGGGGCTGGGGAGTGAGAGGAGCCCCCCAATAAAGGCCTCCCAAGCCGTGGTGAGTGTCCCGGGGCTGGCACCACAGAGCCTGGGCAGCCCCTGCCACCCACCCATACCCACCCCGATGAGGCTGAGAGGCAGCACACAGGGCCCCCTCAATGACCAGCCATGACACAGCCTCCCGGCAGCCCCCAGCCACAGCCCTTGCTGTCTGTGCTGTTGCAGCTGCTCCTGGAACCAAGAGTGGCAATGAGCCTGGCGGGCCTCCTTTGAGAGCAAGCCGCAGCCCCTCCAGCTGGGAAGCTTGGAGAGTCTGGCCTCAGCGTGCTCACATGTTGGAGAATGGGGTAAAGCCAGATGGGACACCCTTGTCCCAGTACCAAGAGTGCCCCACCAAGCCCTGAGGAGGCACAGAGCTGGGTGTAGTCCTTCCACAAGGTGATGCACAGCCCTGCGGGCCACAGCGTGTTCCGGGCATTCCTGTGCACGGAGTACAGCAAGGAGAACATGCTCTGCTGGCTGGCCTGGGAGGAGCTGAAGGCAGAAGCCAACCGGCACGTGGTGGATGAGAAGGCACGACTCATCTATGAGGACTATGTGTCCACTCTCTCCCCAAAGAGGTGAGCCTGGACTCCCGAGTATGGAAGGGCATCAGCAGGAATATGCAGGAGCCAACTGCACACACGTCTGATGATGCACAGCTGTACATCTACACTCGTGCACCAGGACTCCTACCCTTGCTTCCTCAGCTTCCCCACCTACCGTGCCCTGTGGCTCCCAGAGCCCCCACAGTCCTCCTCTGCGGCCTAGCCCACTGCCATGGCGAAGATACTCCGCCTGCTCACCGGCAGAGTCCAGGCTCACAAGCCATGCCTCCACCAGGTGGATGGGGGTCCCAAACCCTGGAAGCAGACCCAACCCCAGTGGGAAGTACCACACGCCCTGGCTCCATCTTCCCGGGTCCAACAGGAGCTCCAGCCACAGGGCAGCAGGAAGCCCCTCACTAGCCTGAAGGTGTAAGGCTAGCACAGGATGACCTTGGGCCCGTAGCCTCAATGAGGCCTTCTCCAGGCAGCATGCACCCAGGACGTGACTCTGTGGGAAAGCAGCGCCTGTACCCATCTGCTCTGTAGCAGGACACACTTCTGCTTGAGCTGTCTGCACCCCAGAACCAGACCTAGAAACTCAGAACCAGGCTTAAGTGACAGGACCTAATTATATTTTCTATGCTCAAGAACTTTAAACCTGGAAATATATCCTCGCTGTATGTTTAATCACAAAAAAAGAAAAAATACTTTTTCCATTTCTCTGCCCCCTAAAAACAGGATCTTATCCTTGAAGAGGTATTCCAAAAAAAAAAAAGGGTCATGATTATGCAGCTATAGAAGCTGTGAACCCAGAGGGACAAGGAATCTTGTCAGGAATCCTCTTAACGAGGTTGCCGGTTGCATCAGGGGACCTTCCTGAGTGCCGTTCATTCTCTGAACGTCCAGCACCTAAGCAGATGGCAGCACACACAAGCATCAATAAACCTTCTTTTGGGCTGGGGATTTAGCTCAGTGGTGCTGCTGCCTGCCTTGAAAGCGGAAGGTCCCGAGTTTGATCCCTGGTACCAAAAAAAATAAATGAACAAACCTTTTTTCCTCTTCTGATTAGGTTGCCAAACTGGTATCATTAAACTGCGGCAAGAATATGCATCAACAGAGTAGATGCAACTGGAAGACTAGATGACAGCAGAAACATCAGATGACAGAATTTACAATAAAAAATCTGACCAAAAGTTAGTAAGGAAAAGGTTTCAAAGAGAGATTTAAAATCCTCTATCTTTAGGGCCGGGGATTTAGCTCAGTGCTTTTGCCACCTGCTGCGCAAGGACAAGGGCCCAAGTTCGATCCCCAGTACCAAAAAAAAAATATCCTCTATCTTTGGGTTTAAGAAAGCAACTGCAAAAGCAAAAGACTAGAATAAACTGGCTTAGCTTATGTGTTAAGAATTTTTAAAACAATCAGTTGCTTGAAATTCAGCATTACTTTCAAAAAAGCTAATGTAATTTTGGTGGCCTGAATAAAGGCAGCAAAGACTGAACTCTCTTCGCCCTCACACATTAGCTGAGCAGCTCTGTGCCTGAGATGTTTTGGGGTGTGGGACTTTCCGTGATAGAACCAGGACAGTGCAGGCAATCAGGGGGAGGTGTCACCCTACTCCCAATAGAATTGGATACTCCCAGAAGAGAACAGCTGGGATACCAAGGAACTAAATCCTGACACTACGGCTACACCAGGCATGGAGAGAGGTCACCATTACAAGATTAGAATTATTATTCTCTATTGGATCTACATAGCTCAGTGGTGCCACAACTGCCTGGCAAGGGCAAGGTCCTGAGTTCGATCCCTGGTACCCAGAAGGAAAACAAAAAGAATTATTCTCTATAGCTTTACTTTTTAAAAAAAATTGTCAGCAGGGCATGGTGGCACATGCCTGTAGTCCCAGCACTCAGGAGGCTGAGGCAGGAGGACTGCCATGAGTTCAAGGTAGTCTGAACTACATAGTGAGACCCTGTCTCAAAAAACTAAAAAGAAAAAAAAAGTCACCTTGACAAAGCCAATTCTGAACACACTATTATTTATCTATTTTTGTAGAGCCCAGGATCAAACTCTGGGCCCACACACACTAGGCAATTGCTCTACCACTTGGCCCTACTGTCAGTCCCCAGAATAGCTCTAAAAACAACACTAAGTACTATAAACATATACCTAAAAAAAGGTGCTCCACCTCTAGGGCACTCCTCTCCCCTCAAAGCAACACTGAGACCAAAAGAAAAGCTGGGGTACGGTGGTGTGCATCTGTAATTTCAGCTTTTCAGGAGGCTGGGGCAGTAGGATCGAAAATTCAAGGACAGGCTGGACAACTTAGCGAGGCCCTGTCTCAAAATAAAGTAAAAAAAGGACCTGAGCTGAGGGGTAGAGAACCTGCCTAACCTGCCTGAGGCCTTAGGTGTGAGCCTCAGCACTACCAAAACAAACCACAAAATACTTTTCCTACATAGTTGCACCTGACACTAATGAAAATCAGATTCTCAGCCCAAAAGTTAGAGAAGCAAGAGGGCTGGAGGATTTAGCTCAGTGGCGCCAAGCCCAAGGTCCTGAATTAGATCCCCAGGAAGGAGGGGGAGGGAGAGGGGGAGAGAGAGAGAGACAGGATATTGACTGCTTTAATATAAAGGATATTCTAGCAATTAAAGATACTAAAAAAAGGAAGTGATTTCTGACCTAGAGATACCTTATCACTGCAAGTATTAAATAGGAAACTTCCTCTAAGGAAGTATCACAGAAGAAAAAGACACGTGCTGAACATTTCAGCTCTATGAGATTTTTTTGGATACCAGGGATCGAATTCAGGACCTTGTGCTTGTGAGGCAGGTGCGGTGCCACTGAGCTAAATCCCCAGCCCTCTATGAGGAGTTAACCTACTGAATTTATGCCTGCCTTACGTTTCTCAATGGCCTTTGCTTTTTATTTTGTCCTACTTACTCCCACTAGGAGGAAGTAGGCAAATTGAAGCCACAGTGATCTTATCTGGACCTGGGAAGTTGCAGGCTCTGTCTTGTCAGACAGCCTTTGCCAATTCCAAGGCAGGGAAACGATGGAAGAAATGAAGGAAAGCCCTCCTTCAAAGGGAAAGCCATCCCCAGGCCAAGTGGGCAACTCACCCATGCCAGACTTGCCATCTGGGTATGTGTACACCTGTCCATTGTTCTTGATGATCGGGAGGCTGGAGGGTAAAGGGGCAACTTCTTCTTCACTCTCTTCAGAGCTGGAGCTGCTACTCGTGTCCTCACTGCAGCTATCATAGCCGTCGAACATCCCGAACACGTCTCTTCTCCTCCTCTCAGATCGTGAAGAATGTTCTGTCTTAAAACAGGGAAGGAAACGGTGAGGCATGACACAGTGCTCAGCACGCCCCGCAAAGACCGCAGCACTGGTTCTGACAAATCAAAGTCTAGCCCTGAGAAAGGATAATATTACTTTGTATCAAAAGCTAAACATGAACATGACTGCTAAGAGAGGAGACACAGATCCATTAGGGATGACGTTAGCTAGTAAGGCTAGTAACATTGAGAATGGGAAGACTGCTGGATGTGTCACAAGACCATCACACAACTCAAATTTTATCTCTGACTGCATCTCTGCTCTATAAAAAGGATCTCAGGCTGGACACAAGTGGTGCACGCCTGTAATCTCAACTACTCAGAAGGCTGAGGCAGGAAGATCCAAAGTTCAAAGCCAAGCCAGGCAGTTTAGCAAGACCCTGTCTCAAACACAAAGGATTGGGGCTGTATCTCAGTGGGAGCACAGTTGCCTAGAATGAGTGAGGGGTGCTTCAATCCCCAGTACCCCCTAACCCAAAATCTCACTTTTTTTTTTTTGGGAGACAGGATCTCGTTATATTGCTCAGGCTGGCCACAAACTTGCAGTGATCCTCCTGCCTCAGCCTCCCAAATGCCGGGACTACAGGTGTGCACTAGCACGCTTGGCTCCAACCTGTTTTTAATACTCTTCTTTTAGAACATGCTTTCGGACCCAGTTTTTTTTGGAGACAGGGTCTCACTATGTGTAGTTCAGGCTGGCCTTGAACTCACTTCAATCCTCCAGCCTCAGAAGCACCACACCTGCCTCTAGGCCCAATTTTAAAGAGAAAAGCCTATTGTTTGGGGTCACTTTAGAATTACTTCCCTAGGGATGGGGATTTAGCTCAGTGGTTCCGCCGTTTGTTTGCCTCGGAAGCACAAGGACCCGAGTTCAATCCCCGGTACCAAAAAAAAAAGAATGACTTCCCTTTCCCCCAATAGACTTCCCTTGCTTGATCACCCAGATCAATTTAGCAGATATGGTCTTTTTTCTGGTGGTGAGGAACTCAGGACCTTGTACCCGCTAGGCAAGGGCTCTACCACTCAGGTACATCCCCAGCCCCAGACTTGGGTTCTGGATAATTTCCCTAAATGAAATGTATCTTCCAAGCATCAGAAGTTGCTACCATCAGATTTAAAAAGAATAAAGAAGACTCTGAAGACAATGGCAAAGAAAAAGCTCTACCATCCTGCACTGACGAGAATGGTATAACCCTCAGCTGGACAAGGGCACAGTGCCATCAAAAGAATTCCGACAGAGCCGCCATTCTTCACAAGTAAGGCCAAGTGTGCTCTGCCACTAATTATGTGTGACCTGAGCAAGTTATGAGTTTCTTCTTTTACTCATTATTCAACAATTTATCCGGTACTTGTGCGTCTCACAGGAACCAAGGGGAAGACAGAGGTTGTGGGGGACAAGCAGGAGGACACCAACAAGGCCAGGTGACAGCAGAGTAAGCTGGACTGTCAGCTGAGACTCTCGCTAAGGAACTGCCTCAGTGAGACCCTGAGGGCGAAAGGCCGCTGTGGGACTATCTGGGGCTGGAATACTGGAGACAGAAGAGCAAGACACAGGCTTCCAGGGTGGCATGAACTTGGCTATGGAGAGGCCAGTGTGGAGAGTGCCGGAGACAAGGGAAAGAGGAGAGAGAGGCGGCACCAGAGGCTGAGGTCAGATGGGCAGGAGCCCCGAAGGACAGTTCAGGAAAGAATTTGTTGCCTGGGGCACTGGGGGGATATTTTGAATTCTTCCTCACAGAGCCTGGTCTACATACTTCATAAACCCTAGCTAGGCACTTTTAGATTCTTAAAACAAAATGAATCAAAAAAGCACACCTCCACGCAGAGGCAACTTTTACAACAGAAGCATAGTTTTCATATAGGCTAAACTGTTTATTACACAGTCAGCTCAGGTAGCAGTTACTGCAGGTTTACTGACCCTTAAGTGTGTACTTTAAGAGAGAAGAATCTTCAGAGTTCAGGGGATCAATAATCAAACATTTTTTGTTTTGTTTTGTTTTTTTGAGACAAGGTCTCGCTTTGTGCTCAGGCTGGCCCTGAACTCACTAGTAGCCCAGGCTGGCCTCGAACTTGTGACAATCCTCCTGCCTCTGCCTCTTGAGATTACAGGCCTGGGCCACCACACCCAGCTGTTGGTTTTGATAATTATAGACTGCTAATGTTAAAAAAAAAAAAAAAAATCTGGTCAAATAGAGTCAGGAAATTTTCCTTCTTTAAGGTCTTTTGGGATCTTAAATATGTTTATGAATATTGTGATTATTAAGGAAGAGTACAGGGTATGCAATCTTTTCCAAATTATCTTGAAGGTCTAATGTTCTAGAGAAAAGCTCTCTGGCCTTTCCTACACCTCTCAAGTCATTTTCTGGGGGCTGAGACACAAATACTCACACCCACAACTTAAAGGAGGGGTTTATTTTGGCTCCCAGTTTGTAGAGGCTTCAGCTGGCTGCTCCAAGTCAGGGAGTTGGGGAGGACATAAACCCCGCCAGGCCACACACCCAGCCGCCACCTCTTGAGACCAGGCCCGACCTCCTAATAGCAGGGCAGCTACCCGTCCCTTAGTCCAATCGCCTTCTTCTAAAAGGCCCCCTTTGGAGTACATGAGGCTTTGGGGGGACATCTAGATATAAATTGTAACATTCTGTCCCTGGCCCCCAAAGACTTGTACCTATCTCTTTATGCAAAATGGATTTAGTCCGTCTCTAAGACTCGCCAAAGTCCTAACAGTTCCAACACTGCTGAAAAGTCCAAGTCCAAAGTCTCCTCTGAGACTTCAGGCAAACTCCTATAAAAAAAAAACAAAAGGAACGGAAAACACTGCTGACACACATGGCACAGGGTACGAATTCCCATCCTAAAAGGGAGGAAGGAAGAAGAGAATAGAAAGGAATGGGACCAAAGCAAGACCAAAACCCAGCAGGGCAAACGTTAGATCCTGTAGCTCCATGTCCAGGTCCTGGGGCAAGCTGTGGTGACCACGTGTGAACTCCACAAGGCTTTGGTGGCCCTGCCCCCACGGCATGGCCTGTCTTGGCCCGGCTCTGCTCACTTCCCTGGGCCTTCCCCAGCTGGTCCACACTCCTGGCTTCTTCAGCTTCCTGGAGTCTCCATTGTACTTTTGGGCTTCACACTCACAGCTTCACACACTGCCCTCTGAGGGGCACACTCACTGCCTGGCCTCCCAGGCCCTCTTCTGAAATTCGGGTGGATGCCTCCCTGACCCCACAACCCTTGCATTCTTCATGCCAGTAAAACCAGTACCATGTGGATGATGCCAAGGGCTGCTGCCAGCTGGAACAGTAGCCAGGTCCCCTTGAGTTGGGGCTGCACAGGCCTCTCAGTGCCTGCCCACTGTGAACTAAATCCTGAGGAATTCCCTAGGTGGCCCTTCTACAGCAGGGTGCCCAGCGTCTCTCTTCTCAAAGCAAAGTCTTTCACTTTTGCTTGCAACTCTTGAGCCTGTGGAAGAGTGGGGTTTTGCTGGTTCCTGTGATACCCTCAAGTCATTTTTTTGCTTTGTTTTAAAGCTGATCTTTCCAACAACCAAGCTCTCCTTTGTTCCGTATTTGCAGGCCCCAACTTTACTAGAGCTTCCTTTCTGGGCAAACTCAAAACTTTTTAAATTAGCTGTGGTGTTTGTTTTTGCTTTTTAGTATAAAGCTTGCTAAATAAAAGCCCCCAACAGTAACCATGCCACAGGCTGAATGTTGGAGTGCCTTGAAATTTCTTCCACAGATGAGTCTGCTGCCCTTAATACCTTGGTCTCCCTCAAAGTCTTAAGACATGAGCAAAATGCAGACAAATTTTCTACCAGTATAATACACATGGTCTGAAGTCCAACTGCCAAGGAATCCTCCCAAATGAAACTTCCTGAGCTTATTCTTTACTGTCTGCCTTTTTATCAGCATTCTGGTTTTCTAAACTCTGACCAGGCTCTCCCATCAAGCTCTGCTCACAGCATTCTTGGACTGCTTCTCGGGCTGGCATCTTTAAACCTTTTCAAATGTCTCCCAGAAACCAGTTCCAAAGTCTTCTGTATCACATGGTCAGACACAGTCCTGGGAACAACCCACTTCTTTCTCTGGTTCTAAACTCTTGTCTTCATCACTTTTCTTGTTGCAGGGGCAAAATATCCAATTTCTGCAACTTAAATGAGGAGAGGTTTTATTTTGGCTGCTTTGGTCCACAGTTGGTCCAAGGCACAGGGGCATGACAGAGGAGAGCTGCTCAGCAGGGTGGACAGGAAGCAGAGAGAGAAGCGGGGAGCTGGGGAGGGAGATAAACCCTTCCAGGGAACATACTCAACTACCCGCCTCTTCTGACCAGATTCCCATCTCCTAACAGCAAGTCAGCTATAAGCCTCCATGATCCAATGACCTTCCAAAAGCCCCACCTTTGAGGGTACGAGGCTCTGGGGGACATCTAGATATAAACACACATGGAGGAGCTCATCTGTATTTCACAAGGGGAAGAAGCCCCTCGGGTGCACCCCTGCTGAGCCCTGTCACAAGTAGCACAGAGAGAAGTATCCCGATTCACTCATCACTGTCCATGCCACACTTGTTAGGAAGCTGTATTCCACATAGGGTATGCTCTTCTCAAACACCCTTTCTCACATTAGGACAGAGTAACAGTGAGCTGTATGAAATGATCTATCCTATGTAAAACTTACTATTTATTTGCTATGGAGGAACTTAGTTGGGAAGTCTGTCAGCAGACCTAACCCTGAGGGAGGCTGTGACTCCAATGAGAGGGTGCTGAGAAAAACCCTGACTGCATGCAAAGAGCGCCAACAGAGGAGTCTTTCCTTATGTGTTTGTTTTGAGACAGTGTCTCCCTGTGTAGTCCAGGGTGGTCTTGAACTTAGGGAGATCCTCCTGCCTCAGCCTAAGTGAAGGGATTACAGGTCTGTGCCACCATTTGGGGCCACAACTTAACTTTTGTCTGGTGCTGGGGATGAACCCAGGGCCTCATGCATGCTGT